AGGCCAGAACGAATCCGGCGGACTCGGCGTTTGTGATTTGAATGACCTTTTCGCCAGAAAACATGCCTGATATAGATCCTTCCACGCCATTTCGCTGTTTCTTCATGAAGTCCAGAGTCGCGGCGCTCGTGATGGATTCCCAGTACGCGATCTTACCGCTAACGGGCATAACAACAACCAGGCCGGGCTCTGTTGATGAGGCCGATGGGGACACGAGACAACCCAATGGCAGAGGTTCCGATGTATGTTTTGAAGGATACGGGAGGGTGAATGTGAATGTCTCGGGAGATTGGGACGAATCCGTATACGGCCAAACGATCGCATAAGTATGGCTGAGGCTGAGGGCGTAGCGGTTCGAGAAGATATCGGCCTGTTGCTGGGCTTCACTTGACTGTCAGATGCGAAGGACGGCAATACCGCAAACGTTACGTACCTGAAGCATCTGCGCGTAGACGGTCTGGCAATGCAGGCAATTTGCTCACAGTGTAAGCGTTGTTCGTCGTCTGTTGGGGATCTTGTTAGCTGACCAGGGGGGGCGTTCGATGCGACCGTGTATTTGCGTACCAAAACAACACTTCCATCGCCCTTGGTCGGTCTGTCGCCTCCCTTTGGCTTCTTTGCGCGCACGCTGAGTTCTTTTCTCGGGGTGGGCGTGATGGGGTTCTGGTTTTCGATGCCGTCCTGGCGTGTGTCGAGTGTCGCAACTTTATCGGACTTGACCTCGTACATCTCGGGCCCCGTGGGCGCGGACACATCAGGATTCACGAAGGTCTGCTCGGTAAGAGGCAGACGCTGGCGCTTAGCTTTGGGTTGCTGGGCGAGGCTTTCGTTACTGGCCGGTCGCTGCCTTCTTCTGCTTCGCGTCGCGGTGGCGGGACCGCCCTCGTTCATGGAGGGAGAAAACATTGTGATGCTGTCGAGCGACCGGGCGCGAAGTAGTTGATGGGGGTCGTGGTCGCGGTCGCCGTGATGGTTCTGGGGATCGTGGATGGGCCAGTGTCAATCAGAAAAACATTTCGAGGATGGATGGATTCTGTGGCCTAAGGTATTCTGAATTTGTTAGGGAAAGCGGAGGTCGGAAACGGTGGACGCAAGTGGCAGAGCGGATTTAGCAAATATGTGAGAGTGACGAAGCATCAATCGATTGGGTCTCGCAAAAAAAACACATGGTTGCTGCATCTGCCAAGCACGGACCAGAAGCGCCAGCAGCTCCTGTCTGACCACTAGCAGTGTGGTGTCAGGCTCCACGACCCCGGTGAGCAGTAGGTCAGGGCAGGTGTGCAGGTGTGCCGGCGTGCCAGCTGAGGCGGCGGAAGGGGCAACGACAGCACGGGTGTACCTACCGACGTACATAGTGAGGTCAGGTCCCTCCCTCCACAAGTAAGGTAAGGTACTTGTCGACCTTAGGTAATGAAAGTGGAGATGACTGCCTCGTGTCACGCCCAGTACGTACCTGCTTTTTCTCAGATCCTGTTGGGCAGGCACAGGCAAGCGAGGCAGGTTCGTTGCTTCCAGCACCTCAAAATGGGAGAGGCTTTCCATTGGCCGACTCCGCGATCGATTTGGAGTCCGCTGAATCGACGCATTGGACGGAACGAAATACCTTAGGACCCTGAAAGTGGAGCCTGGGAAACCAACTTAAGTCAACAACGTCACTCGGCCCTCGGGAAGGGTCGGCGGACACATCGATAGAACGATTCTGTTGTGTAAAGGCAGACAGAAATACCCACTAACAACTGCCTTTCCTTTGACTGAGTCGTTGATATTTGTGACTTGCACTTATTTGCTTCCAGATCCTCGGTACACACCTTAGTCTTCAGGGCGACGTACTTCCAACTAACGTCCACATAGAGTTGTCGGACGAACTAACCCGACCCCACCATTCGCCTCTATTCACTCATGTTCCGCAACTCATTGCATTCTTGACCCGGAGCCCATCTCCCGAGACACGTTCAACTACGATGATTGGCCGCGAGACCTCATGAGTTTGCATAGCCAATAGCCTCTCATATTCACGAAACTGTCGTCTCTTATTCTGTTCGAACCTGACCTGCCCTTTCGAGCTCGATTCAAGTCTCGTCCAAGACGTTCGCTATTCTGAGACCCATTATCGAGTAGACCGGAATTGTTCAATTCGGCGACTCGGGCCTCGGAGTTCTACACCGTTGCTGGCTTCAAAGTGGAAGTACACGATTACCACCGATCTTTTTCTGCCCTTGGGTGCGGTTCATGAGTGAGCCCGCCTAGCAGTGAGATTGAAAGCCGGGCATAAACTTGTCCAAGCCGCCTTACGGATCGTCAAGACATAGAGCTCGAAGGCGAGTGTGTTGAAGAGAGGGAAGGCAGGGTCGACGGCCATTAGCAGCAATTTCATATTGGATGGCTCTGGACGAGCAACGGCAACCATGATCTCTCACACGCTGAGGATGCCAAAGGCAAGACGGATGGCTTACTCTATCCGGCGGTACTCAACTGCCATGGCCATCACCGATCCCCTCGTCAAGTACAGAACGCTGGTCTCAACCAATGTCCTCTCACCAGATCAAGACCAACACAGACTGGCAATTCACCTACAGAAGCTCTACGGCCGTCTCAAAGACTACGCCCCCGAAGTGGACTATCGTGAGCGCCTAAAACAAGTTGCTGATATACCAGAAGCCCGCGACCCAGAAGAAGCCGCCGCGACGCTGGCTATGCCGAGTCACCCCATCTGGGACAACCCGCTCTTCAAACACCTCGCCCGCAAGGCCATGCCAGACCCAAAGGAGACGAATCCCATGGCTTTAGTCCACGTCATGACCAGTCTGGAGGGTGCCATCACAATCAACTCACCTAGAGGCCTCTTCCTATCCGGGGAGGTGGGTGTGGGAAAGTCAATGTTGATCGATCTCCTAGCACAGGGCCTGCCGACGGAGAGGAAACGTCGGTGGCATTTCAACACCTTCATGCTTTACACCTTTTCGCAGCTGGAAAAGTTCCGCCAGTTCCACGCCGAGCTGGACGGGAACGAAAAGGAGTACGCCATGCTGTGGCTGGCTAAGAAGCTCGTAGAAGAGTCTCCCATTTTGTTCCTCGATGAGTTTCAGCTGCCTGATCGCGCGGCAAGCAAGATCCTCAGCCACTTATTCATCGCCTTTTTCCACCTGGGCGGTGTACTCATCGCTTCATCCAACCGCGTGCCCGAGGAGTTGCAAAAAGCCATCGGCATCGAGTACACTGTCCCTCCTTCTGACGGGTTCCTCAAAAGTCTTTTTCTTGGCGGAGCTCGCTCCCGGGGAACTCGTCATAGTCAAAACGACTTTGCCGCCTTTCTCGAAGTGCTAAAGGCTCGCTGTGACTTCTGGCACATGGATGGAGCCACTGACTGGAGACGCCGGGAGACCGAAGTGAAGGCCGCTGTTGATGCCATCTCCATCGAGGGGGCGGGACTTACGGCGAAACCTGCAGATTCTCAAGAGGGTAAGTTACCAGTCACCGATTGAACTACATGATGCTAATGAGTCTAGAAACACCCAAAGAAACAATAAAACCAGCAAAGTACTTTTTGACTCCTCAGACCTCGGAATGGTCATCAGAGCTATCATATCTCCTCTCCCAGCCCTGGAGCCCGGCAAACCTTACAGTCTATGGCCGCACAATCCCCGTCCCGCGTCAACGAGACGGTGTGGCCTACTGGGACTTTGACGCCCTTGTCGCAGCCTTTGGCCCCGCAGACTACGTGACGATGGCATCAACCTACCACACCTTCATCATCGACAACGTCCCCACCATGACCACGCTCCACAAGAACGAGGCCAGACGCTTCATCACCCTCCTCGACGCCCTCTACGAAGCGCGCTGCAAGCTCTTCGTCCGCGCCCAGACCGGCCCCGACGACCTCTTCTTCCCCGACATCCGCGCTGCGCAAGCAGAAATGGCTGCCGCCGCAGAGGCGGCAGCGGCAGCGGCGGCATCCGGGGAGGAAGTCGTCTCATCGGACGCCATCTACTCCGAGACTATTGCCGAAGTCTACCAAGACTCCGCGGCCCCTTTCCGCCCCAACATCTCCTACTACGACACCGACGCCCCGACCTCGAAATATGATCCGGACCAGGACTCGGATTTCGGCCGAGCCGGCAACGTCAGCAGCAGCAACACGACGAGCCCCAACTTTAGCAACACGGCAGGCTTCATCGGCGAGGACGAGCGCTTCGCGTACCGCCGCGCCGCGAGCCGGCTATGGGAGCTCTGCAGCGCCGCGTGGCACGCCAGGGGCAGCAGCGGCGGCGACCCCTCGGAGTGGTGGACGCCCGTCCCGCGTACCGCGCGGCACTGGGAAGATTCGGCGCCGTCCAAGCCTAAGCGGGACGAGCCGCTGCTGCCGCGGAGGCAGAGCGATGCCGTCATGGGTCCGTCGAGGCCTGTTGACGAGCCGTTTGGGACGGATAAGCTCGTAATTGAGAGGTGGACGGCTCTGGAGGAGGCTGAACGCCGGCGGGAAAAGTCAGCTTCGTCTTCGTCTTCATCCTAGGATCGCGTACGTCTCTAGAGTTTGATCTTTGGTTGCTTTTTTTTTGTATTTGAGAAATGGAGGGCAGTTGGAGTACGAGGAGCAGGTGGGAGGCAAGTTCTGTTGGATGATCTCGCTCTATCCTTTCTCTCTTCGTGTCCTCTTCTCATCTTCTTGGTTTTGAGATTTATTGCATTTGAGAGGACATCTCACGGAGCATAGCATAGCATTTTGGCGGTGCTGGATTTAGCATACGTCGCCTAGACGACGTTGAGACCTTTGAGTCTTCATGATGGATAGATATCTTACAGTACCGGTATCACCCGGTACTCACATTAGAAAAGAGAAGAAAAAAGCCATATTTGCCATCACACCCTCGGAACCCATGCATCTATCTTCTATGATCAAACGCCCCCAAACTCCAAGGAACCCAAGAAAGAAGGCCATGAACCACTCTTCAACCCCCTTTTCAACTTCAAAACCACACCACCACCCCCAAAAACCTCACTCATCAAAGATTCGTCACACCAGGCGTCCACCCCTCCCCAATCCTCCTCACCTCCCCCTCAAACTTGCGACTCTTAATCACCCGCCCCCCGCGCCCGCTCACAGGCGAATGCTCATCAGGCTCGTAAAACGGATTCTGCAACAACCGCACATACGCGCTCTGCACAGCCCGAAACACGACCCTCAACTCCTGCTCCCGCAACCCAACCGCGCCGCGGCCCCCCTTGCCGCCAGCAGCAGTAGTCTCCGCGCCGGCACCGCCACCGGCACCGGGCGTCCCGCCCGCGACCCTCCGCCCGCGCATGTCGACGACGACGACGATCTTGACGCCCGTGTTGGTCTCCCACCCGTACGCGGCCAGCCGCTCGTCCACGGCGTGGAGGAGGCCTACTTCGCCGGACAGACCCGTCCCCGTGGACCCTGGCGCCGCGGCGGCCGCGGCACCGCCGCTGGAGGGATTGTTGCTGCCGTGGCGGAGCTCAAAGATGTCTAGGGTCGAGGAGAGGAGGAGGGAGAATTGTAGAGGGGTGCGGATCGGCGCGAAAGTGTTTGTCGAGGGGTTGTGGGAGGGGAAGATTTGGATGTGGAGGGGGTTGTTCTGGAGTTTTGGGTTGTTGCGTTAGCGGTCTTGAGGTGCTGAGATCATGCGTTTGATCAAAGGGGGGTTGAAAGAGGTAGGGAGGGACCATGGGCGTGGACAAAGGTTCGTGGTGGTCTGCGCCGGGAAGGGGGAGCGAAGAGGAGGACGTACGTTGCGGCCGATGATGCCTATGCATGCTATGGAAGGGATGGCGGTCGCCATTCTGCGAGCCTGGCTTGTGTTTCTCTGCTTGGTCCTGGGTTGCGAGTCTTTCGTCTTTCGGTGAGGCGCTGAGTCGAGGCGTGGAATGCGATCGGAGTGTCGTGGGTCGGGCAAAAGTCAAGTGTCGGCGGTTTGGTGATGTGGTTTGGAGAACCGAGAGCTGGGGTAAGGTACGGGATACTGTTCCTAGGAAACAGCTGGTGTGGACGGGAGCTTAATTGCCTTTTTTGGGGGCCTCCGTGCTGCCCCGCATTGGCATCAGCATCAGCAACAAGCTCCTAGCTGCTGGCATGTCAACTTCACAAAAGTAGTGATTTACATGTCGTCAAGGCAATACAAATAATTCTCCAGAGATGCCCAGAATGGATCATGGTGTCTTCCCCTTCGTAGAGAAATAGTATTACATCTCAACTAAACCAAATCATTACTCCAATGTTCATAACGAAGGCGTAGAAGCCCGGCCTCCTTCTCATGAGCTAACACGCCCATCGAGAAAAGTTGATAATACCAAAAGAAAGCGCCGTTGGAATAACCTCTCCCAAAATTTTTGCACCAAGAAGCAGACAGAGAGCTGTAACCAACAAACAACCCTCACTCATTCAATCTCCTCATCAGACAACCCTTCCGTCTCCTCCAACCCCCTCAACATCTCCTCAATCTCACTCGGGTCCGTAATCGCCCACACGCCGCCGCCCTTGACCGAGTCCTTGCCCCTCATCCCGACCTCCTTACCAACGAGGTTCCGCCCGACCTTGCCCGGCCCGATGCCGATCCACCGCCTCACCTTCTCCTCCTGGTCGAGGTACTTGATGCTGTCCCACCACCGCACCGTCTCCAGACACTGCCGCGCCAGCAGGTCCTTGACGTCCTCCCTGCTCTCAAACGGCCGCGCGCTCACGTTGCTGATGCACGGCAGCCGCCCGGGGAAGGTAATAATGTCTTCCGCCTCGCGGCCTCGCACCCGGCTCTTTCTCGCCAAAATCTTCTGCATCACCCCGACCGCGGGCTTCATCAGCGGGCTGTGAAAGGGGCTGTCGCTGTTCAACCGCACCGCGCGCGGGTCGTGGCCCAGAAACTGCCTCACGTGCGTCGACAGCGTCTTGATCCGCTCGATGTTCCCGCTCAGCACGATCTGGTTCTTGCTGTTCACGTTGGCGATGAGCACCTGCTCGATAGGCGGCACGTCCTCGGAGCTCTCCCCCTTTGACCCGGCGCTCGAGTGGCCCACAAAGTCGTGTATCGCAGCAATCAGCGGGCTCAGGTACTCGGGCTCCGTGACGATGGCCACCATGCCGTACTCGCCGCCGTACTCCTCGACGGCGCGCCGCGTCGCCTCCGCCATGGCCTCGGCCCGCTTCCGCACGAGGTACAGGCTGTCCTCGAACTCGAGGTAGCCGCCCGCCACGAGGGCGGCGAACTCGCCCAGCGAGTGGCCGAGCGTCACGTCGACGCGCCGCGCGACGTCAAAGTCGAACTCGCGCTCGAGGATGCGCAGGATCAGGATCGAGGTCGCCATGATGGCCGGCTGCGCGTTGGGCGTTTTGGTCAGCAGCTTGCTGGGCCCGTCGGCGATGACGTCGGAGAGCTTGAAGCCCATGTAGTGGTCGATCTCCTCGATGATGGGTTTCGCGGTTCGGGGAAAGGCCTCGAGCCATGGTGTTATCATGCCAACTTTTTGTACTCCTTGGCCTGCGGTAGTCACACATACTTGTCAGCTCCTCGAAATATTTCCCTCCTCATTGCGCTTCAGATCTCCCACCTCTCCAAACGAATGGGACTCTTTATCGCAACGCACGCACCTGGAAAGAAGAGCGCCGTCCGCGGCCTCTTCCCCTGCGATGTAGACACATGCCGCCTACTTGATCCAAACGCTACGTTGCCCGTCACGGCGCGCCTGCGACCGAGGCAGCCGGGCCCATCGGCCCATACGGCGGCGGCGCCTCGGCGGAGAGAGTGGTGAGCTCCAGGAGCTGCAGTCATGGCCCGTTGGGAAAACAAGATAAAGGCGCCAGCCAATTGTGAGCTGGGGCAGCTTAGATGATCGCAATCATGGAGTAGTGGTTAATCACTTTGGTATGCGTGTTTGTATCTCTGTAGGTGCTAAGACGGGAGAACAGAGTACTGTAGCGTAAGAGAAAGTGACAAAGACTCGACGCCACTGAAAGAGCTTCTAGAAGCAAGTATGGAAGAGAATTAAAAACTAGAGGTGTCAACGAGGGGGAGGTCCGCGGGTTTTTGCGACCGAGTTGGAAGATAATGTGTCACACGCAAGCACAGCCCACGCGCGGCGGCCGTGAGTAGTCTTGGTCTTGGTCTTGGTCTTGAACTTGGGGTTTGGGGGAAGCGGAGAGCAGATAGTCGAGACAGGAACGTGGTGAGCCCATGACGCCAGTTGAAATGGCGGTTGGTCCTAGGCAGTGGCCGCCACTAACCGAATGTCCCGAGGCCGAGGATTGAATGGGAGCTGGAGTAAGAAAAACACTGGAGTAAAGGTACCTACCCCGCGATTGGCAAACAGCCTGGGCAGCTCTTTTACAGGCGCGTTTCCAGTTCCGCTGCGCCGGGAGCGGGGCTGCTTCTGCTGGATCTCCCCCAGGGGAGCCAGGGGTCAATTGCCGCCGACGGGAGTCACTCACCCCGATGCTGCACTCCGATCTCACGCTGAAGATTGAGTCACCGCCTCGGCTTATAGCCGTCACAACAGACACGGCCACTATTCTGAGGTAGCTGTATCAGGAAAAAGAAAACGGCTTCTTGGGCGGCTTAAACCCGTCTCCTGGCTTGCTTTGATGGGCGCGGCCAGGTAATACCAGACCGCAACGAATTGGCATCACTAGTCTGCCACTAAACGGAGTGGAAACCGAGGCCCGCCAAAGCATGTGAAGCATACTTTGCTTCAAGAACTATCCAAGAAAAAAAAAATAGCTAAAATAATTCTCATTAGTTTATATTTGCTATCATGTTTCGCGTTTCCGTCTAACACCGCGTCTCTACACCGCCCTTGCTGACCGTCAAATACTTGACGCCCTTGTACGGCTTCACGTTCTCACCCAGACCTTTGCTCTTGCGCGGGTCTATCATGATGCTCTCCACCTTGAGCCCGCTCGGTAACCACCCCTTGACCGAGAAGCTCACCGACGCCGAGCTCGGCATCAGCATCTTATTCTGCGCAACCTTCTTCGCGTCCTTCTCGTCGTCTCCGCCGTCAGCCGTCTTCTTCGCCTGGGTGGGGCTACTGCTCTGGTACGGCTGCTCGTCGTAGCCGTACGCCTTGCCGAACCCGAATCCGTTAGGGTCGAGCTCGTCCTCGTCCTCGTCCGGTAGCTGGCCCACCACGGTACACCTGAGACCAAAGTATGACGTGCCAGAGGATATCTCCTTGGTGGGGACGTGCCACTCGAGGACCCTCTCGCTAGGGTTGAAGGTCGCGTCTCCCTTGCTGGGCCGCAGCTCGGACAGATTCCTAACCTCTGCCGGCAACGGCACCGTGACAATCAGGTCCTCCATCAGAGGCGATGAGGGTGTTCCCGGGTGAGGGCCGCCAAAGCCTCGACCTGCTCCTCCGCCGCCGCCGCCACCTCTGCCGTACTGACTTGCTGATGAGGGGCCACCGGCTCCCAGCACCTTGTTGACGTGTAGCCGTACCTCAAAGTCGGAGCCCGTAAGGCCCAGCCCGGTCTTCATCTCAATGTTGACTGGAAGCTTGAGATTGTTGGCGCTTAGACTCCCGCTCTTGCCGTTTGAAAATGGTAGCAAGTCGACCTCGTAGCTGGCCAGAATGAATCGGCCGTCTGGTGGTACAAAGCTAAGTTCGCCGGGTCGTTCTTTCCATCGTGACAGACGGACACAGGGGTGAAATACTGGGAGGTCCATGAAGCCGGCCAGGTTGTGTTTTCCAGAGGGGCTCGTTAATGTCATGACGATGTCGGGCATGCCAGACACCTTACACGTGAAGGCTATCGTTCCGTTTGCGAATGCTGCCAGCGGCCGCCCTGAGGGTGCGAGAGTGACAGTCAGAGTCTCGACGATATCCGCGTACATCTCGTTGGACGTATGCCGCACGTTGGCCCTGCGCCAAGGTAATGCCGGGGTGTTCTGGGCGATCAAGGACGGCGTACTCGGATTGGCGAAGCCGGTGCCAAAGTTGCCAGGTTTCCTGCGTGAATCCCGTCAGACCTAGTTCCCATCATATGCGTTCAAAGTGTCTCCCTTACCCCGGCAAGGTGATGCTGCCAAGCAGCTTGCCCACCCATCCCTCAACCTCGACCAAATCCCTCAGCGCGTTGGGTTCCGTCGTGTTGATCGTCCCCGCGTCGCACATCTCATTGAGCAGCTGCGCGACGACATCGTAGTTGCTCTCAATCTTGTGCGCCAGCAAAGGGGCGCCGAGGAACTCCTCAAAGACGTCGACGATGCGGTGGATGAATTCGAGGACGAGCAGGGGCTCGATCTCGGAGGACGAGGTGGCCAGGAACAGCAGGTTGGCGTGCTTGAGGCTGAAGACGAGCGTCGGCGGGTTCGTGTTGGCGAGGTAGACGAGGTTCGGGCGCGGGGCCGGGTGCTCTAGGTAGAGGGGCAGGAGGTGCTGCGCCGACAGCGGGCGGGAGGTGTACGTGTGCGACAGGATGGCATGGCTGTCGAGGGTAAAGTATGTTAGCTATGACGAGTCTGGATGATAGGTACGTTGCAGACTGACTTGTGCTCATCGTAGATGTGCAGCGCCTCAATAACGCCGTTCATCGTTCAGGTCGGCATCGGAGGATGCGCCGTGGTCGTCGGAGGTGGTGGGGGGTGGGAGGTTGTTTGCTTGCTGTCAGTGTGTCTGGCTGCCGCTGGAGCTCCCTCGTTCGGGAACCACACTCAGACCGGCCCCGCGTACCTTGGCGGCGCCGCACATGCTTGATGATGGAATTAAATGTTAGTGCAAGGGAACAACCCAATCCAGCCAATCAACAGCGAGATATACCCTTGTCGCTGCACCAAGCTCCCCAGGCCTCCACGGTCTATCACTGCCGTTGTCAGGAGCTTCCCATCGCTCGTCGCAAAAAGCATTCGATAGCCAAATCTTGAAGACCGCTCAGAACCAAGCCGCTTACCACACACGTATTCGCTGCCATGATCGGAGGAGGAGACAAAATGCCTACCGTGGGCACCTTAGACAAGCCTGAAAACCTCGACCAGCTCCTGCGCGAGGACCGCGGCGACGATTGCACATCGTGCAGGGTCATTGGTAAGCCACCACTCTTTTCCAAGACTTGCGGTGCTCGGCAGCAGTAGGGAAGCCATGCTAATGCGGCATCTTCCGAATAGGAGGCGGCGCATTCCTCGGTCTCGCGGCGTACAACTACCTCTCCGGCATGGGCCACGTCGAAAGGCAACGCGCGGAGATTCTCAAGTCGGGATCCAGGTTCGGCATGGGAAGCCGCAAGGTGGGCGTCGCTAGCATCTCCATTGGCCTGGCGTACCTTGGCCTGTGGAGGCTGTTCAAATAGACGACGGACGAACTGAAGGGACGAAAAAGGAATTGGTATAATGAGCAAAAATCGCAACTCAAACAATCAGGCCAGGCGCGTCCACGGGAGATGGCCTCATGGACATGAGAGAGCCGATGCTACCGGCAGATGAAGCTTGGCACCACTCTGCTGACGGCCTCACACGAGCGGATGCCAGGCGCCTACGATGGAAAATCGCAGCAGAAGCTCGTGAGGGAAGGCGCTGGTCAAGATATCTCAGCCACGCTGGCCCTACGGCTGGCACGAAATAGGTCGCTTGAGAGCGGACTGACGATCTTGTGAGCCAAATGCTGTAAGAGGTAACTCAAGCAGACACTAGCTGCACCCATTGTTATAACACTGTACAATACTACCATGTAATTAAATGCGAAAAGTTAATGAACGAAAAGAAAGTCCACTATATAATTCGACATGTGAACTGCACCGATTATCGGTGACATTCATAGTCGTTGTGGTGATGTCAAAAAAATGGTAAGGTGCAGGCAAGCATTGCCCGCCGATTGAACACTCCAAATTGCCCCTCCAAAGCTTCACCAAAAATTCTTTGCAAGCAACAATCTCAACCACACCCACATCCACTAAACAGCAACCACCACAACTCCCACTCCGCAATCGACGCAGCAAACCCTCCCAAACCGTACTTCCAAGCAAGCCGAATCACACGATACCGAATTTACAACTGTGTCTCTAGCGCCCCAACGGCCTTCCCGCCGTAAAACCACAAATTCACCATGCCCATCACAATCCTCGCCCCGCGCGGCACGCCGTCACATCACAAGCCCTACGCCGCCGCAGGAGCAGGAGCAGGAGCAGCAGACTCAGACTCAGACTCAGATGGCGGCGCCGACATCGAGGGTGACATCTCCATGCGCCCCGCGAAACGCTCCCGCGGCGACAACTACGAAATCGTCACGCCGGGCGAGATCATCACGGACGACCCCCAGTGGATGAGGTTTGTCGACCCCCATACTATATCCATAGGAAGCTGTGGAAAGACAGAAACTACAGAAAAGAGAAGCCCATATCTGACATCACAAAAACAGAGGCCACGGAACCTACATCACCCAAAACACAACAGACATCGTCTCCTCCGTCGCAGGCACCGTAACCCGCACAAACAAGCTCCTCTCCGTCCGCCCCCTCCGCGCCCGCTACACCCCCGAGATAGGCGACCTCGTCGTCGGCCGCATCGTCGAAGTCCAAGCCAAGCGCTGGCGCGTCGACGTCGGCTCCTCCCAGCTCGCCATCCTCCAAATCTCGGCAATCAACCTCCCCGGCGGCATCCTCCGCAAGCGCACCGACACGGACGAGCTCCAGATCCGCTCCTTCTTCGCCGAGGGCGACCTCGTCGTCGCAGAGGTCCAGCAGCTCCACCAGGACGGCGCGGCCTCCCTGCACACGCGCTCCCTCAAGTACGGCAAGCTGCGCAACGGCGTCTTCGTCGCCGTCACGGGCACCGGAGGCGGCGGCGGCGTGGTGAGGGCGAAGAGGCAGCAGTGGGTCATGGACGCGGCGCGCGGCGCGGCAAAAGTGCACGTCACGCTCGGCGTCAACGGCTTCATCTGGATCAGCAAGCACGTCGAGAGCGACGCGGGCGCCGAGAGCGTGGGGCTGAACCGTATGGAGGAGAGCGTCAGCGCAAATGTCTACTCTAGCCAAAACGACAAGATTGACGACGAGACGATGCGCGAGGTCGCGCGGATACGGAGCGTCATCCTCGCGCTGGTGGAGAACGGGCTGCGCGTCGACGAGGACATGGTCGTCAGGGGGTACAAGGTGGCCGTGGACATGGGCTTGGAGAGTATCGAGGACGACATCTACCTCGGTGGCGAGCGGGGGAAGAGGCTTGCTGAGGCTCTGTTGAGAGAATAGACAGTCACGAAATGCTGTGGCACACGATTCAAAAAGACATGGGCGAGATTGGGCGGAATAAATATCTTGAAAAAAGTTCTCTAATAGATACCAAGAAAGGGGCTTCGTATAATCCGTCAAAGAGACCCTGGATCGCCAGACATCAGAAACGCTATGCAGTGTATATCTATAGGCCGTATTGCTCAGCCATGGTATCAAAAAAAAAAAAAATCATGTAGCCAAAAGCATAGTAGACAACGTCTACTTAAAAGGTCTCGACGAGCTCTGCGCCGGCAAAGTACCCCTTATTCTCAATGACACCGCGATCCTTCACAAAGGCGGTGTACTTGACCACCCACTCAGGTGTGAGGTCGCCTTCCAGACCCTCCTGGTCCTCGGCAGGGTCGGCGAGGACGCCAGCGCCCTGCAGCCCGTGACCGAGGAGCTCGCGGAGGGTGCCTCTGGGCAGGATGTCGGTGCAATCGGTGTGGACAAGCAACTCGACGCCCTCCGTCTTGGCCAGCTTGACCAGCGTGGGGGGAACGCTGCAGCAGTCCTTGATGTTAATCTGGTCGACGGCCGGCCGGACGCTGACCTTTTTGATAAACTTGGCCAGCTTCTCAGTGCCGAACTCGGAGATGCCGAGGGCCTTGACCTCTCCGCGCTTGTACAAATCTTCAAGAACCGTCCATGTCGCAGCCTCCTCGTCAATGTTGCCCTGAGAGGCATTGCGCTTGTCGGCTTCCCATTCGCAGTCGCCCTCAAATGACATGCCCGGGAAGGACGCGATAAGAAGATCGATCGTCGTGACCCCCAGCTCCTTTCGCACGAGGCTCAAGGCGTCCTGCACGTACTGGGCCCGGTCTTGCGGAGCGGCATTGGGGAGGAAAAATAGCTTCACGGTAACGTCGTAGTTATCGGGCTCTTCTTGTAGTCCAGAGTAGGACCAGTCTATCCGCGGGACGAAGAGCGCATCGTCTTCGCGAGCGGTCCACACGTCGATGCGAGGCCGACGGCCGTTCGAGTTGTGGGAGAAGCCATTGGAGTGGCCGTTCAAACCGTTTCCATTTACGGGTTCGTCATCGTCATCGATGGGAGAAGATTCTTCGTAAGGCGAGTAATCCTGCTGGGCAGCGAGAAAGTTGCTTCGCAGTGAGTTGGTGAGCTCAAGGTTCGACCTGTAGGCTCCCGGTTTGCGGATTATGGAGGGGCCGCCCGAGACAATGTTTCTGCAAGCAACGGAGATCGCCAATCAGCATCAGAGCGCAAGGAACGATTCTACGTAGTAAGGTGGAAATCAATGAAAGGTGTGACAAACCCAGTGGAGAGAATGAGTTTCGTCATGGCGATATTGACAATGGGAGTAGATAAGGTAAATATCGCGATATTATAGCTCAAGATCAGATGCAATGAACTGGTAGTCGAGAGAAGATTGCGACGTCAAGGGTCTTGATTGCGCAATGTAGAGGTGAGGGCGTTCCGATCTTCCTCAGCAACTTTTTTTTTGGTGCCTTTCGATTTTTAGACTTTGGAGGGGTGATTAACAATCGGAATCAGGTCGAGGGGCCGATAAGGAAAGGTACGGTCGGCTCGGGTTCAAAGGTGAGACGGGGTAATTATTAATCGTTGGCGCACGGCAGGCGGATGTCGGCTTGTGTGTGTGTCAAGGCCCCCAAAATCGGAGATAAAGGGTGTATGAGATGGAGTAGTAGTCTGTCTCTGTAGGTATGGTACGAGGAAAAGTCGTGATATGCAGCGTATGCAGCGAGGGGGACGGTGGTAGGCGGGGATGGGTTCTAGAAGTACGCGCGAGACTCTTCTAGGATGGGACCCGCGGGTGGATGTGGATCGATGATGGTGTTTATTTTCTAGGTCTCCGTGGAGTTGTGATTTTGGATCTCGTGGAATAAGGTAGGCAGTAGACGGTGGAGGGGAAAGGCTTGCGGAAAGAGGGTGGAGGACTGTGCTAGCCTTTATTATAACAACAGGACGGGAATTGAAAGAGAAATTTCCATCCACGTCCGTCTCAGTGTGTGCCGACTGAATCGAGTCCTTCGAGGAGGTGTCAAGCCATCCGTGGAAATCGTCCATCTTCGATCCTGCGGCAACGGCGTTTCCTGCCTCGCAACTTCCATCCGGGCACCGACCACATCCCGCCATCCACCCCTCATCCCGCCGCAAATTCGGCAGGAGCGCGACTCCGGGGGGCAGGTCAATGGCACCTGGTGGGGGTTTTGCCCATCGCGTCAGCGCCCTGGAGTGATTTGTCTGCACCTTCCGGAGGCTTCCGTAGGACCGCAATGGCGACGGCCTATGAGAGGCCGTTGTCGGCATGAATCGCTCATCCAATGTCTCTGTTTTTATTCAATCCCATCACCACACCATTACCGACATTCAAAGACTTCAATCTCGAGTCGCACAAAGCCGGCAGCAATGAAAGACCGGGCTTTGTTCCGTTTGGCACGGCAGTCCAGGTGGCGTATCCGTACACACATGGATATTGTCTGCTGAAGATGGATGTACCTTGACCAATCCGAACGAGATATTGGGCTTTTCCAGCCAAAGTAGACGGAGCTTTTACAGCGGCCCTTCCACTGTCAATCCCACTCACAGCGCTTCGCTGTCTGTCAATATTACGTAAGCTGAAAGCTCCCAGGACCGGGTGCCACCTCAAGCTTTCCAAGCCCGCTGCTACCAGGTGTCGCCTGCTAGGTACCCACTGCCTGAGGATACTGCAGCCTCAAGCTCAAGGTACACCTGCGGCCAAACTCGACACCTTGCGCCCATCAGCCTGACGTGACCAAGGGGTATCGTCACACCCAACAGACCGCATATCGTCGCCAACCGCAATCCAGCGCTCGGTTTGATGTGCTCGACCACCACAGCACTGGACACTTCATACGACGTCAACTCAAGGTCCACAACGCTCCTCTCAATTCAATCTCCATCTCCTTCTCCGTCCACCTTGTGGTGGTGATGTGAAGGCATCATCATGGCCATCCAGTACGTGATTACCCCTCGGCCGCATATGATAGTGCATCAAGGCAAGAAGACTAATTCAATCTAGATACCTCATCCTCCTCTCGCGCCAGGGCAAAGTGGTACGCACCCATCGCTACCCGGACCCCCCTCGAACATCCCTTTGCTGATCACGATCCCTCTACAGCGCCTCGCAAAATGGTTCACCACCCTCTCGCCCAAGGAAAAGGCCAAGATCGTCAAGGACGTTTCTCAGCTGGTCCTCGCCCGTAGAACCCGCATGTGCAACTTCCTCGAGTACAAGGGTTAGTCGCCTTCGAAACCTGGCCACTTCGCCCGTCGACAGTCACTGACTTGTTCCCGCCAGATTCCAAGATCGTTTACCGCAGATATGCGTCGCTATTCTTTATCGCAGGAGCGGCGTCAGAAGATAATGAACTCATTACCCTCGAGATCATCCACCGCTACGTCGAGCAGATGGACAAGTACTATGGCAACGTCTGCGAGCTAGATATCATCTTCTCCTTTACGAAAGCCTACTACATCTTGGACGAGCTATTATTGGCGGGAGAACTACAAGAAAGCAGTAAAAAGAATGTGCTGCGTTGTATATCCCAGCAGGATTCGCTCGAGGACATGGAGGTACGTCGAGTTGATGCTTTACTGTTTACTTGTTTTCTCTGCCTTCAAGACGACGAACTGCAGCTGCGCCATTGGCGAAGTCTTGCGCTGACGATTCTCCTACTCCCCATCAGGTCGAGGACGAGGTTACAAAGATCATGTAACCCTCCTCCAGTGTGTACCTATCTGCTAGATTGAGACACGAAGCCCGGGATAAATCGAGCCTCGAAGCCAATCTACGACATCTATACAAGTGTTGCACGAGCCGCGAGGAGGGCATGCCATTTATGAGTCTGTTGGCTAATGGGCGCTCTCGCCGCGTATGCAGGAAACGGAAGAGATTACATCGTCTCTCAAAGAGGTTGGCATCCTTTGACGACCCGCCATGGCTTTCGGATACACTGCAGGCCGGAAATCAGAAGGCCGATACGCGACAATGAGGGAACGATGCGCCGATGCTGTGATGGACGGGAATGACCCCCGGGTGGCCCTTTGTGTGCATAGATCTTTGAGGGCGGAAAACCGCCCTCTACTACATCAAGAGAAGAACATGAGATAGCGGTGCTTGTTGCTTGGTTGAGTCCACAACGTTTGTCCAATCTTGAGTCTTGCCCCAGAAACGATGCATGAGCTGGGCACGGGGCCAAGAGGGACGACGACAATGGAGCACCACTACATTCCGCGGAAAACACGTAACAATTGACAAATAGATGAGCATTCCGATACGCAACCAAACGCCAGTCTTCATTGCCCAGAGACAATATGAAGTCATATTGCGAGATAGGCTTGGAGTAGCCGCTCGTGGCCTCTTGACGCTCTTTCATTCGCTTGGACATTACCGGCCGCGCCCCGCCTCCCTCTACGCGGCGGATTGGACAGAGTTGCTGGGTGGGTTTCCGAAGGCCGCGAAGGGGGCCCTTCCCCCAACAAGCAGGGAACAGACAGGGACTGGACCCCGACTTCCCAGCTGGTGTCTCCCCCACACCCGCGAATCCGGTGTCAAGAACGAAGCAGGCGGTCACAATGCGATACGGCAGTCCAGCACCAGAAAGCGGACATGCTGGAACAGCGCAAGATATGCTTTGTCACAGACCCCCCGTCGGCTCCACCCACTATCTGTTCCTATCTTGGAACTGGCCCACCACCTAACACTGCCTTACCTCACGGCAGCTACCCATTCACCCTGCTGCACCAGGACGGGGGCCTTGTCAGCGGGTACGGGGAACGACGGAGACGTGAGCCAGGACCCAGCAAGCAGCAGCAGCAGTAGTAACAGCAATAGCAGCAACCGACAGCGGCCAGCACACCACGGACCACGCAGCCAGAGAGGTGAGTGGCAGACCAGACCACCACGCACCCAGGAAGGCGTCACCTCTCACACCGGCGAGTCCTCGCACCTGCCGAGAGCTGCGACAGCACCGGGTGCCCAGCTCACTTCCCGCTCACTCCCGCTTCGTCAGGTCGTCTTAAACTCCCGTCCTTCGTCACCCCATCCCTCCCTTCCCTTTTTACCCCTCTGCTTCGACCACCCTACCATCGTTCAACTTCCAACACACACACACACACCTCACTACAACATTCGTCTTTTAGTAATGTCTGTCGACCAGATCACCTACTAGGCGCAACGCGTCTAGTCTCCGTTCATCCATCAGAACCAAATTGATCTACACGATCAAGTCGCTCCTTCCTTGCCTTATCTAAAGCAGGCAGGCTCCGGCTTCCATCGATACACAGACAACAGTCTTCACACCGATTCATCATCATTCACTGCGACGCATCGCATGCGATTTATCGCGTCGACTTCGCTTTTATCTGACCATACTCTCGACTCCGAGTCACCGCTATTCCGATACCCGCAGACACCCCTATTCCGGTCCGGCGCGACTGCCAACTCCTGTGACATCATTTAGTCACGTTAAACCTCCGGAATCCAACGGCTCCATCACAACAACCTGATTACGGCGCGATAGCGGCGATAAGCTCCTTGCATCGCCAGAACAACCGTTGAAGCGCTCGCGATCTATACATCTATTGCGCGCCAATACAGAATATACTCCAACCAACCTCCATCCCACCTCGGTCTCCCAGGCCGAACCTCAACCATCCAAGATGAAGGTGCGCATAACTTGCTGCAGCAGGCACGCTCCTTTGCAGCAGTCGATGACACCTGCTAACCCAGCTCGCAGTATCTCCCACTGCAAGATTTCGACGCCGTCACTGGCGCTCTTAACTTCAACACACCGGATTGCAACGTGACTGGCGGATGCGACCTCTATACGACCAAATCTACAGGTTCCGATAAGAAGCTTTACAAGAACATCGACAAAGACCTTAGTTCACAACATGCCGCGCTCCTCAAATTGGGCGCAAGCCTATCACCACCAGACCGCGAAGCCATGCTGGCAACATCTCCCAACATGCAAATGTTCTCACACTCGAGCGCGTTTGGCCCCTTATCAGAGCTCGCGAGTCGCCGGACATTTGCTTATCTGATTGCGACACTGAACGCCAGTCATCAACACTACGATTTCTCGCACGTTTTGAGGCCAGGCGACTTCAAGAAAGAAAGGAATCTGCGAAGAGTGATGGGAAACCTCGACTCAATCTTACAGAATGTCAGACCGCATGTTGAGGCACGGCCGGTCGAGCAGGCCACGTCTTCGGAGACCAAGCCGGTGTGGGGCCCACAATGCTGGTCCAAAATTGATAAGGAGATGCGCCTTAACGAATGCACAGTCTTCAGCTACAATCCGGATGTCGACCCTTTCGAGGAAGATGAGTCTGCGATTTGGGCTGCTCACTGCTTCTTTTTCAACCGCGCGTTGAAGCGAGTCGCCTACCTCTATGTTCGCGTTGTCCCGGTCGTATCGTCACAATCACCGCGCCTGCAACCGGCGCTTCCGGGTTCCGTCAAGCGGACGCGGAGTACCCAGTTTGATGCATTGGCCGGCAACAAGCGCGCCAAATACTGGCTAGGAGACCGCGACGCCGAGGTTGTGGCACCGTACGAAGACGACGAAGAACAAAGCGACGGCTTCCTCTGGAATCGGGGTGCCGATGGCGATTTGGTCCCGTTCTCTGATGACGACTACACCGAGGAGCGCTTCTACTACGACGAAGAGGACGATGACGAGAGCCTGTCTGACCGGAAGAGCCCGGTACGGCGGATGAGTGAGGATGTCGTGGCCCACATGGAGATCTAAAGAGGGCCACTCCACACTGGCGCATGACCTCTTCTCGCTACCCCGTTTCATCGCTGTGAGAGCGGATGGGTCTCTCGTTTCTCTGAGTTTATCAGCTGATGCTATCAGAGCCATGATGACGAAATGGGGTCACTGATTCAACACCACTTATCGGCTCCGCACAACCGCTGAGTCACGACTACTCCTCTGCCGTGGAGTTGTCACGATTGCTTCGCAACATGGGCACACTTCAACGGCCCAGTTCCAATGAGTTTACCTTTACTTTATTTTTATTGACTACTCTTGCAGTTTATTTCTCGTATTTTCTTCTCTGTGCTTTTCCTTGTCCTCGGACTTGTACGCTGGCGACTAGTTTTGCATGTTAGTTTTTGCACTTCTTTCTTACGGTTTCGAATGGCGGCGGCGATACCCTCATGCTTTCTCGCCAGGTGGCGCTGGCTAGGAAATAGTACCAAACGGAGGGTTTAAGGGTAACATGGTGCATGCGGTTATCGGTCCTGGATGGCAGACAGGATCCGAACGGAGCGGCCGCGGGTGACAAATGGATCAAACTAGGAGTTTCTTGGGTTTCGTGAGGTTCCTGCGACGGTCGTATGGCAGCGACTTGTTCAGCGATAGGGACTGATGTTGGAGTTGGGTTTCGAATGGGCACATGCCAAAGGGAATGTTTTGCGATTGTTCTGGTTTACCGTAGTCTACCCGCGATGAATACGCAGTAGTAGTACGCAATGATGAAATGAGTAAAGCTCGTACACTCCAGTCTCTGGACGTAAGCCAATTTGTCTAAGTCTTTTCCTGCTTGCCTTACCTTGCCTGTAATTTGGTGCTCTTTGACCTGGAGAGCACGCGTAGCTCGAGATGCTGTAGACTCTCGTTTCGTTGGATTTAGAGCAAAGCGCCATGAGAGACAACACAATTTTGCGAGCAATTGTAAAATCTGTAGTCAAACTTGATGGCCACTTGCCGCTCAACAAGTAACTCTTTCGAAATTGGAGAAACGAGGAGAATCATTGTCATACTTGAAACCATCATGACCCTTTTATCTAAGAATGCAGAATTTGGTAGACATGCCAGACTCACTGCGTAGTATCTCCCGTCTCCAACGGCTTCTGCGCATACACGTTGTAACTGAAGAGTCCATTAGCAATAATCATTACGAAGAAAGACCCAAAAAAACTCACATATCAAACATGGCATGAAAAGCCCCAAAAGCACCCGTCTTCAACTCCCTCCTCACAGCAGCAGTCTCCACCAGAATCTCCTCCTGCGTCCGCCCCAACAGCTCCGAGAACAACTTGAGCGAAAGCGCCTCGAGGCCGTCAATCGTCAAGATCAGGTTCATCATGCCCAGGTCCTTGTGGAACTGGTCTTTTGCCCAGGGGCCCAGGGGCGCCTTGATGCGGTGGGCGTGGACCGTCTCCGGGGGGAAGCCGCCCTGACGAAGGAGGGAGGCGAGGGTGGGCGCCACGTCGGTGTCGCGGCCCATCCCCTTGCAGGCGGTCGCGAAGCCGGCCATCCAGCGGGCGGTGGCGGAGTCTTGGGAGAAGGTGTCGTCGTCGGAGTAGAATTGCGTGTTTACGTCTTGGAATTCGACCCAGCCTCCTGGGTTTAGGTGGCTGTTTTTGTTTGCGGTGTTAGTCAGTCGGTCTTCTTCTTCTTTTGATCACAACAGGAACCTGTAGTTGCTATATAGTATGACAAGCAGGAGAAATCGGGACGGGGAACACCCACTCGAATATGTTCCTGATCAGGCCGGGCCAGTCCTTGATGGAGGCGACCATGTACCGGCACATGATGAAGTCGTATTTCCTATTGCCGACCCACGGGCTCTCGACGTCGTCGATTTCGAATTTGACGTTGGGAGGGACCCTTTTTTGGACTATGTTAGTAAAGGGATTCTCAAGCTCTCATGATAATGAGGTCTTGATGTCGAGTACTAGAGGAGGATGGGTAAGAGGATATCGTACCATTCCGGCTGGATAGGACTCAGATCAATGCCGAGAACCTGAACCTCCTCGTCAGCAGCATATTACAACTTTTCCCACCGAGTGGTGAAAGACGTGGTGGAAGTAGACCAGGTACTATACCTCCGCGTTCTCAAAGACGTCGCCCATTTCCACGGCCCCTTGAACACGAACGCCCAAAAGTTAGCAAGCAGAATCTCAATGACACCCTCAGAACGGAGAAGAGGAGAGGGCAGGGGAAGGGGGTTCACGACATACACAGTCCGGTCCCAGTCCCGATATCAAGGATCCTCTGCACCTTTTCCTTCTTCAGTGGCGCGTTATACAGCCTGCTCCCAATCGCCTTGACCATCATCGCGTGGGCCAAGTCGAGCCTATCCATCTCAGACTAGAAAGAAGTGAGCTGACGGCCTCTTGTTGGCTGTATGGAGAAATAGGGGGGTAAGCTTCCTTAGTACCTCATCATTGGGGAATTTATACGCTACACATGAATCCTTTTGTTAGAAACAGATGTGCAAGCGACTAAAAAGTGAGAGAAAATACGGAAAAGAGAATGACTGACATCCTGGTCGGAAAGCATGATAGCGACGTCCGTATTCGATGGGATAGTCTACGACGCTCGAGGATAACGAGGCGGTATAACTCGAGCTGAACCAGAGGAGAAGCTTCACTTAGCAAAGGCAAAAAGGGGTAGCCCGGTTGAAACGAGTTGCAGAAGAGGCACCAAGATAATACGCACATGCGGTCATCAGCTGTAGAAGAACCCTCTGTGAACTAAAGCCCCAATATTAGCTTCCTTGCTTATGTCTCACGTTTGGTGGGAACCAATAGTGAGGATTGTTCAAAACCAAGAGAAGAAAACGGACATTGCCTTCATCCTCATCAGGTTCGAGAGGCGCCGGTGCCGGGCTCGGCGGGCCGTTGTCATTGGTTCCCGGAGCTGGCGCTGCCGCCGCTGCCGGCACAGCAGCATCACCAGCCGGAGCCGTTCCCGGTGCGGGGCTAGCAGGAGCAGCAGTGGTAGCTAACGGGACGGTGGAAGAGGGATCAGCCATGATTTTGCGATTCCCGGTTGCGACGGATGGTCGTGGCGTGTAACAACAAAACAGGAATGGGCTAGTTCCCGCCCAAGGTATGTGAGAGTCGTCCTGGGGGCGCGAGTTCTGGACTTCTAAAGTGCCCCATAAGCGTGGCAGCGGGGAGAGCACCGTTTTGTAGACTTGTACTCCGTAGTGGGAACGAATCCCCATTAATTCGCGGAACATGGGGGGGACTGTGGCTTCGTACACTAGGCCATTAAAGCCGCTCCGCCGCTCCGCGACATCGCTCGGTGTATTGAGTCTTCCGTCCTGTCTGGCGTTGCAGAACTTACCGATGGAGACAGACGTCCGGGACTGGCAATTCGTCAGTGTAACCCTCCCGCAGCGGTACAGACGGGCTCAATGAAGCTGGGCCAATGGGATTCAGCCGCTTCAGGTCACCCCCGGCCTGCCAGTCGACGAGTGCATAATTAGCACCATCTTGAAGACTATCAAGTCTGCGGACAGGGCCCACCATCCACCCCTGCCTTGGCAACCGCCAATATCTACTGTGTAAGGGTCAGTTGTCCTTTGACTTACCAAATCTCAATCCCAAGCCATGAGTTAATAATATCAAGAGAAGAATATCAGAGAAGCATGCTTTGTATTGTTGACCGCTTTTGCGTATCTAACTAAGAATGCTTCCAGACTCGTCTTCCGCTGCCCAAGTAAACTGTCAAGAGTCCATCAAGGGTCCTATTATCCAAAGAAAACGATGCCAAAGACTACCTAAGGGTCCTTGGTCGGAACCGCTCAAGAAATGAACAAAATCCTATCCCGTCTTTGGGAAGAGTGGTATCAAAACATGGAGCGCGAGGCACAAGTGTGTAGAAACAAAAAGGTAGAACCAAACAGGGCAACCCGGGCTCGGCTATGTGCCGAATTCACCCCCGGGGCAATCATGACCAGGTGACAGATTTCTTGCGTGACAATATGACGAACAGGCGCTATATGGTTGTTGTAATTTTCTCCATACTTGATGGAGAGGTCGTGATCTTCATTCAGGTCGTGGCTCCGCGCCGACGCGGCTTGGGCAACTAAGCCAAGCTCGACTTCTTCCGGCGACCAAACATCTTGGAAAAGCTGCTACCGCTGCTTTGTTGCTGAGGCTCTCCGGTAGCGGCACGGGCCGCAGGCGTCATCTGTGGCGGCTCGGAGCTGCGAAGGAATGAGGCCAGGTCGTTAGTGCGGCTCGTGGACGAAACGGCCTCCCTTGGCTCAAACTTCTTCATCGGCACGCGTCCCGAGGAATGCATGGCTCCACGGCTGGCGGTAGCGTCAGCAGCCCCGTACTTGTCCTGACCAGGAGCGTTGACTTGGATTGGAACGTGACCATGCGCACCTCCAGCGCGGCTGTTCAAGGACCGACTGTCAACCTTGGCTGGTTTTGCGCTGTTGGAGCCCGCACTGCTGTCCTTTCTGGAGAAGCGTCCAATAAGACTGGGAGCGCTCGCCTTCCTCTTGGGAACGTTATGAGGGGCGGCAGCGGGTTCGGGCGGCGGCGAGTAGTTCTTCAAAAAGTCGGCCAGGCTCTCCTCCTTCTTTGGGGGAGGCCGGACAGCTTGCGCGTAATCCTCCTCATCTTCGTCGCTAAGGTCGATGGCGTACGGATCGCGCACGCGACGTCTCGTGCGCTTGGGCATCATTTCGTCGTCGTCAAAGCCGTTGCCACTGGGACGGTTCTTGAGAAGAGCGCTCTGGGAGTTGATCGACGACTGTACAGAGGGCTGGGTGATATCCGTCACGTTGGTCGACGCTTGACTGTATCGAATGTCTGGCAAGCTGGCATCAACAGCTTTGCCACCCACAGCACCCGACATCTGGTCAGAATCCATCGTTGTCCGGAATGGAGCCACTGTTCGAGGAATACGGGGATTGCTCGAGCTAGGCGGTCCTCGTCGGATGAAATCGATTAGGTCCGAGTTATCCTCGCGATTGTCGACGGCAGCATCCCGGGCTTGTAGTCGTGGCCGGTTGTTCGATGATGAGATGCGTCTCGAATCCAAGCTGTGTTTCACAGGCGGCGGCGGGCCGCTGACGTTCCGTAGGGGTGCAGGACCGTTGTCAGCTGTCGGGCCGGTAGACCTGATGAAGTCGGCAAAATCGTTCATCGCAGTGTCGCGGGGTACTCGAGCGTCTCTCGCCTGTGGACCGCCGGTACGCGACCGAGAGAGTGTTGTGCTAGGAGGTGCCTTAGGAACGAAACCTTTGTTCTTGGCTTCGGGTGGGTGCGAATTCAAGCCGGTTGCGCGGCTGACAGACATGGTCCTTCGGATGTCGATTCCAGAGACAGACCTGTTACGTTCGCCGTTCAAGGCCGTGCGGGCGTCTTCGCTTCTCCTCGACTTGGGCCCAACTACCGGACTTGCGCTTTGTGCACGGTTTCCCTACATGACTATTAGTGGATGCTATGGAGGCAATTAAGAAACACAACTCACATCAATGTCACGCATGCTCTCCGGCGTAAGCGTGTACTGAATGGTCTGGTCACTCTGAATGAGCTCCTCAAAGTTGCGAGCGAGATTATCGGCACGGCCGGAAGCCTTGCTATCTTCGGAAGTCCTGACGGCTCGGATCTTGCCCGTGCTCGAAGAGCCAGAGGAGCCAGAGGTTCGCAGGTGCCTGGGGCGATCGGGGGAGTCGCGTCCAGCAGCAGCAGATCGTTCAACAGTCACGACTCCGATGCTCGCCGCTGGGGAGTGAGTTCCGTTGGCTGACCGACCACCACTACGGTCAGTCACGTTAGACGTCGTGTGAGAGCGATGGCGTGGCGAAGGTTCCTCGGGGATAGGCCCGTTGTTGTGCGTGTCCCTCAAGATGGTGACTTTAGTGGCGGATGAAGTGTGATCGTGACGAGGTGACCCTGTGCGTTGGGAAGAATTGAAAATAGCCTGGGATGACCTGATTGCAGGAGTACCTGCTGTGGGCGTTGGAGTTGACGCAGCCGATGTTAGCCGTGAAGGTTGAGCTTGGGCATCCTCGTCAACTTCTGAGATGGACTCGTTTGTGTTTTGTCTCCGAGACAACTTCTCAACGGGAGACCGAGTACGCGGCGTCGAGGTCGATGACCGAATAATGGTTTCAATCTCTACTGGCTTAGGCTTCGGCTTCTCTTCGATGATGGGTGGTGTTACGCGAGAAACACTGTTAGCACGGGAGAGGCTGGCCTGCTGAGAGCGGTCAGAAGCGTCAACCGAAGACGCTCTCGAGCCGGTCACAGGGCTCTTAGGCCCGTGAACGTCAACAACGCGAGCTGAGCGGACGCTGGGTGTTCTTTGCAACAGCTTTGGAGCAACCACGACAGGTTTGCCGGAGTCGGAGATGCTCGGAGAGCTACGCCCAGCGATGGAAACTCTAGAGGAGGTGCAGATCTCCGGTTCCTCGGTAAAATCATCAATATCGCCACTTTCTTCTGCGGATCGAGTCTCCTGCTGTGGTGGCTTGACTGTCGAAGCAACAGCAACTGTGGTCACTGCGGATGCCGCAGTCGCGACGGCAGGGGCGACAACTTGTGATATGCGATTAGGGTTGCGAGGCTTCGGCTCAGGGGCTTCATCAGAGACTGGCTTTGCCTCTTCTTCCCGAGTCTCGGCCGGCTCTTGCTCTACAATCGGCTTAGTGACCTCGTCTGGGGTTGGCAGCGTTTCGGTTGGCAGGGCTTCCACAGCCTCTGTAGAAATTTCCTTCTCTGGAATGCCGGCCTGCTCATCAACCAAGCCAGTCTCAATTGGCTCAGCCCGGGTGCGTTTGACAATTGGCGAGGTGTAAGGGGAGGGCGACGGGGTCGGCAAGGAATTTGAGCGCTTGCGAGTCGAGGGAGCAGTTGGCGTGTGAGGTTGAGACATTGTGGGGGTGGGCAAATCATTGCTGGGCTGGGAAGTAAAGATCATCAGACTCTTCGGCCGTTGCGCCGCCGGCTCGTCTTCACCTTCATGATCCGACTCCTCGTCGTCGCTGTAGGAAGCCAATCCCGGTACTTCGATCTCATCAACATCGCGATCCCCCATCGGCAGAGGGATGGCCGATGCTTTCAAGTATTCCTCTACGTCGTCGATTTCGGGTTCCTCGATTGGGGCTTCTTGAATTCCGAGGCCCTTTGCAGGGAGCGCGGTCTCGCGGGCCTCCGGAGTACTGGACTGTCTGGGATGACCGGAAGAATTGCGCGAAAAGGGGCGCGATTCCAGAGTAGGAGAGCGCAGCCTCTTCTTCCATGCCCGCCAAAGTCTGCCAAGAGTCCTGTCAAGTGCGACCCGTTCCATGTCCAGCTCCTCAACCACAATCCTGTCAGCAACATCGGCAATGCTCTTTGCGCCCTCCTTGGGCTCCTTCTCGAACTTCGCTCGTAGACGGTGGTATGCGGCTTGCCCGGCAACGACCAGGGCTTGTTCGCCCATGTATTCGAGGATTGACGTCAAGAAAATAGCGACCGCAGGGGAGATGACTTCGGGGCCGCGCTCATCCATGGCAGGCTTGAGATTTTCCTGCTCCATGTAGTAGTCTTCGTCTTCCTCTTCCATGTCACCGAGCGACGAGTATACCATGCACCTCAGCCGCGTCCGCTTCCAGACAAGTTCTAGGTCCCAGTCCCTCTGCGAGGACGGACTTTGCGACTGGATAAGGTCATCCTCATCACCTCCGCCAAGGTACTCCCGCAGCTCCTCATCAGCCTGATTAATAGCATCTTTGGCGAGTTTTGGTTTCAAGACTTCGGACACAGCTGGTCGCAGAGCGGCAAGAGTCGTTGCGCGGGAGGCAGACAAAAAGTTGAAGAGGAGCTGGTCGAGGAAGCTATTCACCAATTGCAGCGCGGCCGTCGACACCAAAGCCGTCTCTCCTGCGGGTTCGATTCCATGTTGATCGTACCAGGTGTCAGCGTGACTATCGTGATCGTTGGTAACGATCTGAGAAGCGGCCGAGGCGGCAATGAAGGCGGGTTCGGGTGTTACGGAGAGAGGAGGCGACATCAGGCCAGCGCTCATAATGGTAGAAGGGCGATCGCTTGACACGCTCTGGGTGCGCGACCTCGTCTGGAATTGGGGCGAAGAGAGACCAGAAGTTGGTAGCGACACAGCGGCCGGATCAGCACTTGTGTTGGCCATGTTTGCTGGAAGTCCGGGTCTATAAGTCGAGGAAACCAGTACTGCAGGTCTCCTGGGCCCGGGTGAGACCACAGGAGATTAGATTGAGGCGACACAAATATTGGTAATGGTAGTATCTCGCGAGCGAATGACGATGGGTTCCTTCAAGTGATCTCGGAAGTATTGACAGGCGTTTGCGACTATTACAGAAATGATAATGCGAAAGGGAAGACCGGGAGGGTATGACGGATGGCTGCGCAAGTTGAGTTGTTAGCCAAGTTGATTTTTGTCAATCGAGCAGGCGACGGCGATTGCAGAGCTGAAACACCTGGTCCACGTTCGCATGGCAGTGAAGGACCTGGGTGTGATCCACTTGGGGGGGTAGAGGTAGACAGAGATTCATGCGTGGTAACCACGTCTTGCAGAACGTGTGGCACTGACGAAGAGACTGTGTCGGGGGTAGGAGTGGGAGTGGGAAATCGGGTGAAATGGTTCGGTACGAAGTATCGGCGTGGCAGAGACGATCAATCCATATAAGAGCTGAGGAGGTTGCCGTGCAGTTCAGGGGAACGAGGAAGACGCGGTCCTTGGCTCGACCGGGGCGACGAACGGGTGACTGAGTTTCGACGCGGACAGGCGAACATGGGGGTATGTTGAGTTTGGAGAGGCAGTACAGTATCCGTTGATGGTAACTTTGCTTGATGTGCTGACCAGGAGACGGCAGCGCGGAGGGTTGGGTGTGCACAGGTGGGTGTGGAAGGACCGGGAAGGTACAGACGAAAGAGACTCGCAACAAACGTACCTGACGCTGAGTGCGACGGTGATGCAAGAAAGATTCTGTCCGGACGATGATAGCAGGGCGTGTTGGAAGTAGTAGAAAGCCAATTGGTATATGTAGCGATGGTGGATATAAGCTGAGATTCAACAACGAGAGCAGAAAGGTGGTATGGATATCATGCGACCAGCGGAGGGATGGCCAGCTCGAAACGTAGATGTTGGAGAGAAGAAAGTTGCGGTGGAGGAGGAGGAGAGTCGGAGCTGAGCTGAGCGTTAGGTTGGCAATGGAGAAAAGAAGATGACCTAGGTGTGAAATGAGGTCTGTCTGGGGAGGTGGAGGAGAGAAGAAGCCGGTACAGCAAGCGCGGCAGGTTGAGACTTGGTTGACAGAGAGCGAGAGACTCGAGAGTGGTGCTCGAGAAAGAAAGAGGGTAAGAGAGAAAGAGAAGCCGATGCGCATGAGCCACCAGCCAGACAGACCAAGACAAGCCGAAGAAAACGGACGACGAATTGAGGCCAGGAGGACGAGTTGCGACCAGGACGGAAGAGGAAATCTTGGGAAGCTTAGTGCAAAGGGTGTAGTTTTTTTTTTGTGTCGCGCGCCCGCCTTTGAGATGGTAGTGTTAGTGCAGGTGGGCAGAGTGCATTGGAAGTGACATAGCCAGTGGAGGCAGGCGTGGCAGGGTAAGTACCTAGGTATCCATACCTGAGCACCTCAGCATGCAGTCTGTAGGAAGGTACCTGGGCTAAGATTTGATGCTAGGCAATATTTGGATGTTCATTTTGGGCCGGGATAGATGCACCTCAAGCCTACGGAGTAATACTGTCTGGACGAATACAGAGTACTTGTCATTTGTCGGGTGTGGTTCACGTTGGGTGGTCGTGGGTGAATATCGCGGTGTGGGAACCACGAAAGGGCAAAGAATACGTGGAAGCTCTGGGCAATTCAATTCAATCTGGGCTCTGTTCCCCCCCTCGCGCGGCGTGCGGCGTGCCCCTGAGCTGGAGGTGTGGGAAAAGTGCGGGAGGTGAGGTGAGGCTTGGCTCCTGGAGGACAGACAGTGGAGCGTGTGGGCGATGGATGATCCAATGCATCTGAGCACGAGAGGAAAGATGTCCACCATTCAGGTACCAAGCATCTGAGGCAAGCCGAATGTGCGGTGTTCCTCGGGTGGTAAGGTACGGACTAAGGTACATGCATGCATGCAAAGTCCAGGGGTGCAAAAAGCGAGCGAGCGAGCCGTCCTTTCCCTTCCCCGTGCGGTGTGCAGCGTGGTCCCCCTCCCCAAGGGACCCAATTGCTTTCGGACGATGGTCAAATGTTTGGGATGGTGGGGCAGAAAGCTGCAAAGGAAGGACTCATGGAAAAGAAGGTGAAGACGAAGGTAAAGTACATACCTCATCCGGGAAGTGACAACCCGCCGCAGGTGCCTCTTCACTATTCAAAGCTCGGGGCAAGTACCAAAGTACGTCAGGTAAGGTACATGACATCTCATGGAACCTTCCCGTCCTGTCTTGCTTTGCCTCGACAATCTTGGGCAGGTAGAAAGTGCAAACATCTTTCATACCTACCTTACCTAGGTACCTAAGGTAAGGTAGGTACATCCCACCTTCTCTCAGAAAGTCTGGGCAGACAGAACGCGCTCAAGACAAAACTTCAAGAACGGTTACGACAGGTTGTAAAACACCCGCTCGCGTTCTTGATTCTCTACTACCGTGTGTCTCACTGCGAAGCTCAGGGACGTTAGCGGGAGGGAACCAAGAGAGGACTAGCGTCCCGCGTCTCCAAGAAAGGTCTTGTCGCGGTCGTTGTCTCCAGCATGATGGGATGGTTTCGGTGACATCTGCTCATTGCCCACTGTCGAGCCCCTTGCAGTGTGGAGGAAGAAATGGAATCAATGGATGACAGGACTCACAGGAGTAAACCTGGAAGAGTTTCCATCCAAGACTTCCCGGCGAAAAGAGGACCCTGGAACCTGTACAAGACTGGGGTGGCTGGCACTCGTCATGATTTATGTAGTGTATTCAGATGCGAAAGTCAAAGGCCAAATACCTATCCGTATGTGTCCGTGTAAACCACAATAAAAGAGGCTCTGATCCGAATAGGTAAATGGAATGCATCTCTCTTGACCGGCAATTTGTCCAGGCTGTATAGTTTTGTCCTAGCCAGATTCAAATCTGTCTGCGCCTCTTGTTGCGCAACAAGTCTACGATTATCGAAAATACTTGGTGGATTCGTCAACCCCGGGTCCCTGCCCAGGCAATCAAGCACCCCCCGTGTTGGCCCCTTTTTTTGATGTTCCTGGTAGATGAGATATGGACCGGTGACCCGTCGTCAACGAAACAACCATTGCCAGACGGGTATCGGGCTTCCTGTCTCGAAACGATGCCAGATACTACTGACTACGGTAAATCCTCTGCGAGGTTTACCCTTCAAAGCCTTCACACCAATATGCGCGCGTACCTAGCTTGTTCGTACGGATACGGAGCCCACGGTCAAAATCGTCCTAGCGAGGGCGACATTGAACCAACTACCTTGCGGAAAGGGGCAAGGTAAGTCCACGTTGAGATGAGAGAAAGGGAAGGGGGCAAAGGGTAAGAAAAATTAAAAAAAGTCTCCGACTGCGAAGAGCCGGACGAATCGGTAGAAAATGGGCTCACGTCGTGCTGGTCTGCTGTTGCAAGGATATAGATGCAAGGTCGCAAACAGAGTGGATTCTTATGGTTTCTCAGTTAATTAGACGCAAAGAGACCCTGACCCTGAACCCTGTCTCTTTCTCGCTCTTGAGTCTTGGCCCGACTCCCCTGCTGCCGCCTGCCGTGCGACATCCTCGTCTTCCGTCTAGACCGTCGGGGTCATGATCGTGGTCTGCCTTTTACGACAAAGTCAGGTGCCCAATTGTACGGATACTCGTAGCTATACGTCTATATCCCCATTAAACGGGAGCTTCTCGGTCGAAAATCGCGGCCAGACCTTTGCGTCCGATCTACACATCTTGCCGGCATCCAATAGACTTCAATTCGATAGTCTTGTCCTGGGTCTCGTCTTGCCTGTTCAACGTCAAACAAACACAACATCACCTAGTTGAGTGTCCGCAGAAGGTCGTATCAGTCGCAGCGATCATGAGTCCAGGAAAGAGGTTCCCACCGATAGGTGGAGAGACCCACTTCCATACGCGACGCATCCTGGCGTAGAACAGTGCCAAAAGCGGAGATTCACGGTCGGACGTGAACAGTATACTTTGTGCCAACCTCACGTTGCACCATTCATCTCCCCCGTGGTTGGCGACAAAGAGAGGAAGCCATCGCCAGCGGTAGTTTTTTCCCGTTATTGGTTCCAAAAGCTTAATTGACCATACATTAGACGGACGTTGCTTCGATCAGTATCAAAGGACAACACGAGGCGTCATATTCTTCTTGTTCCCTGCGCCAGTGTCAACACGCCTTAGTGTGGCCGTGTCGTTTCTCAACCGACTCGGCAGCCATCACTCTCAAGAAGATTCAACATCCCGAGTCATCATCGTCTGCAACTCTGCTCCCATCGCCTCGCATAGTATAACGGCTTGTCGTGGCGTGCCTGCTTGGTTCCCTCTTGGCTTCTGCCTGCATCTTGAAGCCCCTCTCATCAATGATCTCCATGGCATTCATCAGGCCATCTGGCGGAATGACTCGTTTCTTCTTTCTGATGTTGACACTGCAGAAGCAAGATTGAGAGTGTTGCATTTTCTTTCTTACTCGTGTGCGAGCATGTACATCAAGCCACAAAGCCCACTCTTCGGCCGGGACTCTCTGCGGCAGGCAGGAAAAAGAAACAACTCATCTACGGAGTACCTAAACCTCAGATAAGCTACCGCACGCAATCCTCTTTGGTTTCCGCTATACCGGTCTGCCTCTTCGATGGCGGGGATACAAACTCGGTCAGCAAGCCCAGATCTTGCATCACGTTGCTCATGTACGCGGCTTTCGACACACACAGTGCAACCGTCACATCGTCTCGCAGTCTGCGACGTGCCATCGTCCTTCTGCTAAGTGGTCTACAGCCTGCTTGAAGCGTTTTCAATGGCCCTCTCCAGACTCTCCTGCACCTCTGCGGCCCTATCAGCATGTCTTTCCAGAAATCCGGCCCTTTTGGCTGCTCATGCTGGTGGGCTTCCAGACGAGTCCACGAAAACAACTCTCTCCATGATGCTGTCAGCATCGGTTACATTAAGAATAGCCCCGCCAACGTGCAGCCGGCCAACTAGACTTGCCGGAGCGACGAAACGAAACGAGCGGACAGAGTCGGGTTGTCGCGCATTTCAAACGGGGTCACAGTTCTCAGACCTCTCGATCAAATATCAGGTGAAAGCCAAGACTCAAGAGTCAACGCAAGGATGAAACTCCCGCGGCCGTTGCATGAGCAAACAGAGACCCAGTTCTCCCAGCCGCCTCTCCACTTTCGATTGTCGAGAGCTGATCGCACGCAGCACGCAGCGCGCACAAGTGCTAGACTTTTATCATGCCAGATGATGATGGGACGAATAACCCAGCATCGGCGCGCTACTGATCGTTTCTTCACGTCCGAGCTACAAGCTACGTTACCGACATCGGGGTTTAATTGTCAAAGAGTCGAGTCAATCTCGGCGCTCCAACACTGGAAATCGTTACCACGGTCCACGGCCCACTCTGGATGCCAAAGTCGCAATCTCCAATGGACGCACCATTGCCTTCTCGCACAGACAAGGGGCCAGAGGACGACTGACGTTCTTTAATCTGAGATGCCAACGATCACGCCGATGAAGCGCGAACCGATGGCAGTCACTGAGGAGCAGAATTACTGCACATCACACACTGTGACCCTTAGGTTGACGCAATGCTGGGAAACAATCCCACATTTGAGCATCCCGACACTCCAAAGCTATAACATCTCGGCCAGTCACAGTAGTACACGATGATACTCCGAGACTCTCCATTTCTAGACTCTCCACCTACTGGAGCCAGGGCAATCAATCTGCTGGCGTAGTGTACACTACCCCCAAAATCCCCCCCAATTTGCGTCTGATCGAATCAACTAGCGGGGCAAAAGGTGGTGCCAGCTGAACCCCCAGGTTTAGTAGAACGTCGTAGTTCATTAAACTCGGGGCTCTAACCACCAAGCGCCTTGTCAAAGAGACGACGATATGCTACGTCCGCGACATACGGGGCTTTGCTAGCCCGATATTCTCAGCTTAGCCTGCACACTGTTATGGATCCTTAGTTGGCAGATGCCCAAATAATGGCCAGCCCAAAAGCCACCGCGCCTTGTCCCGAGCTGCTAGGCTGCGCCTGGGCCACAAAGAGGCGCAACATCCGCCGTATCATTTGGCGATCCTTCTTCAAAAGACTGTCCGCCATAGAGACGGTGCCTGGCTATCTGCGTCGGAGGCGTAAGGGTGTATGTATGCCCGGTTGTCAGCTCTCACGAGTTGATAGATCGCCGGCCTGCCGTTCCGTCGCGGCAGTCAATGGATCGATGAGCGCCTCTTTGGTGTTTCTTTACTGGCTCTTGGCAAACCAGTCTGTCCACGACGGAGCTTCAGAACAGCTCATGGACCTCGTACGGTAAGCCGTTGTTTGGTCGATAAGACTCCTGCTTCATGTTCAGGTTACGAGACTGTAGCTAATGTGATGCATAGCGCTTGTCTTCGAAACAGTTGTCTGGCACGCAAGAATCTGACAATAGTCCCTCTGATGACATATTGGGTTGGAGCAAACACAGCGATGCCGTGCCACAACAACAAAATCTCCAGTCCTAGAGCGGGTTAAGCAGCTACGGCTATTCTCTTCCGCCTCGTACCATGCATCCACGTCGCTGTCGCACGCCGCGGACGTTAACTTCTTCGGGATGCAATAAGGCTGGCTGTGGATCTGGGGCCTTGGAGTTGGGCGGTTCTGTTCAGCCAACTAGCTTGCAGAAGCTCACTGCTTGTTTGCGACAGAGTTCCCTAGGGCCGGCGGAGTGGAAGCACCGCGGATGAGCGACAGAAGATCGACTCAGCCTGTCAAATATTTGGCCAATGTCTCGCCGATGTAGGCCTCTAGTGGTGGGTAGGCTAAGGGTTGGAGGGTGTGGGCTTTCCATTACCCTTCATAGGGATCTACATCGGGCAGAAGCCAGTGACAGCAGCATTATCGAGCTTTCGGTACTGGAAGCTATCAATGTTGGCGCAGCATCCCAAGCAGTCTGCGTTTGGTGATCGTAAGGCGTCAGCAGTTGAGAGCAGCTGTTTGCTACAGCGCATGAAAGCATCGGCAGAGGCAAACACGCATATGTAGACCTAGCTGAGGATTCGGTCTTCACAAGGGTTGTACCACCCAGCATGGGATCCCGTCTGATCCCCAGCTAAACCGGCAGGCCGTACTTCACAACTACACTCAAGTGTCTCACGGGCATCCGTCATCAGCCAACGGTGTGGTGTGTTGTGGGCGCTGCAAACGGAAGCGAGCTCCCCAAGCTATCATCAGTCGGTTCGTTTGCAAACGCCATCCCGACCCAGCCGGCAAGCGACCTGACATCTCAATGCACGACAGCCATGTTTTCGCGTGCGTTAGAGTGGTGGAATTCTCCAGTGAGAGACGAGGATCCCTCGGTGGCCATTGCTCTTCGGCCATGACCTGATATTGTGCGACCGTCGAAAACCCTAACATCTGGTAGGGTTGGCAACAAGGAGATGAGTTACTGAGGCAAGGCAAACAAAACAGATGGAAAACAAAGACTCGGCGGGATGACGATACTTGGCTTCCGCTCCTACGCCCAATCAGCTGCCGTTTCTTTCGGATAAGATCTGGCCGGTACAACCAGTAATACGCCTCTTGGCGAGTCTTTGTTCGATGCCCTCTCACTCTGAACAAGTGGTTCGAGTAACAAGGGTAACACACGCGGCCTCCATTTTGTGTAATCGAAAGTCCCCGTCTTTGACTGCGAAGGCACGCACCATCTTCGAAATACCATCAAAGCTTCTGTCACCTGATGTGTGTCCTCGACTTCGGTACTTGATACGTAATGCTCCATAGTCAAACTACCCCAGATAACCCTACGCCTAGTCGAAAGCCTCGGCACCAGTAAGCTTTCACACAAGCAAAGCATAACGGGGTGTGCTCACAGCTCCCATACTGAGCTCGAACGTCAGTGCTGCGCTAGATCCATCAAACAAAGGATCGTGATAATACAGCTTTGTTTGTTGACTGCTTGCCTGGCATATGGAGCTTGAGCACACAGGCTGACGATGACCGAGCTCACCCCAGACACTTCGATCTAAAGTCACAGATCCGGTCCTCCTAGACGTATCGTTCCCAGTTCCGCCAATATCTTAACAGCGGCACCCAGTCCTCTTTGCTCATGGTTGATGATTCTGGCTCGCCGTTGCGTTCGCACGGTTTACTGTACGGTATTGCTCGAGATCCATGCTCTGTATTTGGGGCCCTTTCTCGATACGTGCGGCGTCGTCGGCAGCTAGTCAACCTGGTCCCTTGAATTCATTACACTTGACGGAACTAGTGCAAACTGCATTTATTGGCTCGAGCTCTTAATATCGATCGATGATCGTGCCCAGGTTGCCAGGCAGAAGTAACTGAGTAGAGTTTGGGCAAACACGATCTCCCCTTTTGGAATCTTACATCAAAGAAGCACGGAGTACATTTCAAGATCTACTATCTTTTGTTCAGACTCGATCGCTTCACGTGGTAACGTGGTAATACGGAAGACTCTAGAAGCAGTTTTCTTCGGTCTTCTCTTCCTTCCTCTAACCCCTGGGGCCCTGGTCCTTCACCCCGTACCTGCCCGAAATCATGCAAGAAAGAGTGACGAGCCGCCTCCTGTCGTGGTCCTCGATTCCCCCGCTCCTCGCACCCCCTCTGCTCTTCCCTTCCATGCCTAGGACCCTGTGGCTATGGGGTGAGAAGAGCAGGAAGACGCCAAGGTCATTGCGTCTATTGTATTAGACTGGAAACTGAAGTGTAAGTAGAACGATGCCCGCCCAAATGAGCCGGTGCGGCGAGTCGTTGATTTTGAGCTGCCCCCTTCGCCGAAATACACCAACGACCGGTGCCTTGATCCGCTGTCGTGTCAGGCGGAGGCCAGCCAACCAGTAGAAGTCCGCTGCGGAAGGGTTGAGGATAGGTGGCTCTGGTATGTAAGGCAGAGCAGATGCGAGCGGGCTTGTTGCTTCCGAGGACAAGGGCGTCGACAATCTTGGCGGTGATGGTATCACACGTGTTATGTTACTTTCGGAAGTTGCCTGCCATAGTTGGATGGCTGTTTGCGAGGACTATTTTCCCTTTGCGATGCAGCTTGTATTATTGCGGCGGCTTTTGCATAGAGGGCCTCCCTTACCGTTGTCTCCGACTCTATCACAACTTTGTTGGTGGTACTTACTCGATTTAAGCTGGTGATTCCGGGCGTGGTTAAGGCCAAGATCTCACTCGTTCAGAGAACAAGGGCGTTCTCGAGAGAGGCATGGCAAGAAAAGGACGTGTCCCCTGGAAGACCCTTTCTGGGAGACTGTTGGGCGCACAGTACTGTCAATGTTGATGCCACGCAGTACTCTTCGTCTCGAAAGTCTCCTCCGAGTCCTTGATGAAATAAGTTCCTCCGTCAGCAGTGTCCGACGTGATAGATCCATGGCTAGTATTATCATCACAGTCTTGTAGGAAATGCGATCTACTCGCCGTATTAGATTCGGACCGAAAGGAACCGCCAACTCCGTCGCCGCGGACGTCGACGGCCCGGCGGAGGACTTCGGCCAGAAGCGCGACTCTTACTCTTTGGTTCTCATATTCGTCTCCGTTCTCGTCCTCGTCGTCACCTCGCCTCGCGGCACGAGTGTGTGATGGCTGCGGCCGAGGCGGAGGTGAAGGCGAAGGCGGCGGTGTAGGCGGCGGAATCGGGAGCGGGAACACGCTCTGCTGCTGGGCTTCGCGGCGGCGGCAGACGAGGCACTTGCCCGCTTGACGGAAGACGCCGGAGCAGGAGAGGTCTGGGCATTCGTCGTCAACCCCCGGCGAGTCGTTGGGAGGGCGAGAGCGAGGTGTGGATGCTTGTTTGTAGCATGGGTGGGTTATGTGGTGGCCTTGCCAGCAGCCACAGGCGACGTGGTAGACGTTTTCTGCGAGGCACATTTTGTGAGATGATTCTGTACTGCGGTGTCTTGCCTGCTGTTTGGGTTGTGTTGATGGGCGAGGATGTTGGCTTACCTTGGTATATCGTCAGATTCGATCAGGAGGTGGACTGGTTCGAGTTGAGGTTGGTGATGTGTGTCAATGGCTCTATAGTGTTATCAAGCTTGGAGTTTTTCGAAGTCTTTGAAGTGTGGGTGAGCTTTTGTTGTTTTGTCCCTCTTTTCCGTCTCTTGATAGTTGGGGCTTGGAGGGAAATCTTGTGATATAGACCCACGGAAGGGGAGATGCAGACTTCCTTCTCGTGAACATGCATCCGTAGATCTTTGTATTATGTGTTGTTGAACGTTGAAGTTTACTTTGTTCAAAACGGCACAATGGTCCTAATGTTGACGAAAGAAAGAAATTGGCTGAGTGCGTACGGAGGGGACAATGGAGGACAATGAAGACTCTTCATTTTGAACAAGTTATCCATTTCGCCCTTGGATGTCTCCCTTTCTGTGTTGGAAGTCGGTTGGCTTAAGCATATGTAAGCTATGACTATGTATACAGCCACCTTAAAGCTAACCTTGGGGGACGAGTGCTCTACTAAAGAGGTAATTTCAGATAGCGGTACTTTTCCCTACACCTTTGGCTCTGATATGGGGGCATTACTCTAGTTGTAGGACGAGGAAGAGGTAGAGGAAGAGATAGCCTTCAACGTAGTCAGTTGAAAAAAAAAAAAAAAAAGAATCTTTGTTTGGATAAAAGAAATACCAGGTTGTCGAACGGCTCGGTACGTCCCAGTCTTAGTTGATCAAATGAGAGGCTTTTGTGCGTGAACAGGGAGGTTGAGCGGCAACCTTATAGGCTTCCGGTTAACAAAGGAATAGCCATTTGATCCAAGTGAAGCAAGTCTTCCAGAGAGAAGCAAGTTATGGCGATCCAGCAGAGAGATCGTGCATCAAGTTGTGACATTTGGATTGCTTGATTCAAAAGTCTTCAGAATCAATACTTGCTGGTTCTGGATTTGTTTTATTCTCTCAACTAAATTACACACCAGATGCCGCGGAGATCTGCCTAGAAAAGGTGGCAAACGAAAGTCTCATAGTTTCATAACCATGTCTTCATTTCTACACATCTACTCTAAGCTCCGCAACACCATTGCCCGCTTCCAATCTCCTTCATCCCCGGTTTATGTCTTCGCAACATCTCGCATCAAACCTAATCAACTAACCTAGCAAGGTGAACACCATCATACAACGGCATCAACCACGAATCCAGCCTCGGCTCGTCGTGCACGGCGCTGTTGAACTCGCGCAGCTTGTCCACGTCCTCGGACTTCCAGTACGCCGCGCGCTCGCCCTTCTCACGCTGCACCCACGGGTTCTCGTCCGAATCGTCGGCGACGATGCCGCGGCGGAGGACATTATCTGCGACGATGAGGCCGCCCGCACGGAGGAGGCGGTTCTTGCCGTCTTTCTGCGATGAGGCGAGGATGGTGGACAGGTAAGATGGATATCCCGACTTTTGGGCGTCGATGAAGATTAGGTCGTAGGGTTCTGAAGGTTTCAGGGTCGGTAGGCTAGGTTTGGGTGTTAGTGAGGTGTTATTTGCGCGGCCCCTTTCATGCTGCCATTCTTCATCGTTCTCATCCGATGAAGATGAGTGGCACTGGAGGGGCCAAAACACAGTGGTGATTTGAGCCTTGGAGGAATAACTCACGTCTCTAGAGCGTCGCCGACGATGACGGACGCGTTCTTGATGCCGTTGGCGGCCCAGGCCTCCTCGGCTTGCTTTGCGTAGTCTGCGCTGAACTCGAGGCCGGTGACGGTGCCTTCTGGGCCTACGGCGTGGGACCAGACCATGCCGGAGTAGCCTACGTAGACGCCAATTTCTAGAACTGTGGAGGGTGATGTTTTGTTAGCATTGGTTTTTGAGTTTCAAGTTGAGTTGCCTGAGAGCCGCGTGTATCAACAAGGACCCCGTGGCACCACGAGAATTGGCCATGGCTGAGACATGAGATATTGTAGAGAATGTTCACAACCACCTGAATTATCCCCCCGGATCTCTCCAATATCTCACTTGAGTTGGAACTATGATTGAGTTGAGTTGAGTTGAGTTGCCTCACAGGAGACACAGTGTCGCGGCCCGAATGCATCCAATAACTCCCAAACGAAATCACCGCGTCAAACGCCCTCTCCTCCCTCACCCAAATGCAGAAAGAAAGCGGCAAAACGAGAAAAGAGGTCTATAGGAAAAAAGCTCACTTCTCTTGGCCCCAATGAGCTTCGCAATCCAAATGTGGTTCTGCGCCTGAAAATTGCTAATCATCAACATGGACGTCTCGGGCTGCGTCTTGTCAATGTGGTCGTGGTAGGCGACAATGTGCGCGGGCAGGTCGGTGGAGCGGGACTCGGAATACGTCGTCACGTTGCGCGAGACGGACTCGTTTGGGTAGAGGACCGAGACGGAGGACTTCATCTTTGCCGTGTGACTTTTCTGAAGCTATGGAAACGGGCGCGGTTTTCTCGGTTCTTGGAAGAATCAAAGTTGTATAGTAAGAACGTTGTCGTTTTGTAAGACGTTGCGAGGATGAGTTGGCGTTCCGAGGATGAGGTGAGCTGGTTGAACTGGGTCGAGTCAGGTGGATCGCAACGGGACCACTCGTCGGCACTTCTCGTCAAACAGGTGTATGAAGTGCAAAAGTTGTGATTTCCAAACAGAGAAACCAGAAAGGTAAGAGAGAGTGAGTGAGAGAACCTGGTGTATTTATGCCAAGTATGAAGTTCCCAAACGACCCCCCTCCCCTCCTCCTCCCCCGCCAAACGTCGCGTTGGCGTCGATTATTAAGTCGTTCTCTCATACCTTAGCTTCATGACAAGTGACAACCACGGACATCGTGTCACAACACCCCCGGTCCCATCCCGCGCGCGGAACGGGTGGACATGGAGAGCAAACGTCGCGCCCTGGTTCCCAGAGCTGAAGCAGAGATCGACCCCTCCATTCATGAACGCGGGTTCCACCCCCACCTCTTTCCATCCCCCGCCTTCGGAGCAAGATGCCGGTTGTCGAGTGTGGTCAGTAGGTAGCGTCCCCCGGTTGCGCAATCGCCCACAATCACCGCCCCCCGCCAGAAGGAATAGAAAACTCCAATGGCATTCAACAAATATCCGTACCGGACATAAGTGAGATCAAAGGTAACCAGTTAACCAGCTTATTCGGCCGAAGTCGCCATGAAAGCTCGGCTCGGCGATTGGGTAGTTGAGAAGGCGTGGCGCGCAAGTCAGTCTACCTTACTTCGTTCGGACTTACTTCTTCAGACGACGAGGCGCTGGGTGGATCTATCTTTACCCACCCAACCGCATCAAACTGCTACAACTTCCACGTCTAGAAATCCTCGGGCCTGACACACGGCACTTTTGGGGAGGGAGGGGGGGGGGGGTTGTAGTTACTTCTGTAAGGTTACTTCGATATCGGCCCTCCATTTTCGCCGCATTCTTGCCCACTTGGGGAATTGCTACCCTTTTACTTTTTGTTATTTTTTCTTGACAGATGCTTGTTTTACAGCGGGAGGTTAATCTTGCAGTTCGATTTGAGAGAGGGGGAGGGGGGTCGGGCAAATATTGCATCTGCCTGCACAGCATTATGCGAACTTCGGATCAAATCCGTCTCGGCCGAAGAAGAAGAAAAAGAAGAAAAAGCGTTGGGATGGAAGGGAAGTTTCTTGGAAACGGGTTACAGACGCGCTCGGTGCCGTTGCGGCGGGACTATCTGCTGCTTAAGGTACCTTACTTCCGAGGTTCCTTACTTGAGTACTTCGTACCTTACAGACCACGCCACACGATACCATCCCATGACAAACGCCGTTTCTGTTTCGGGAAGGAGGGGCGGTTCCGAGGGACGACTATTGCACAGCAAGGTGATTCTTCAGTGACATTTTCAACAACCACACTGCAAACCCAAATAGCTGACTTATCCACGCAACGGAGTTTTGCACTCAACCTATCTCTTGAACACATACCGTGATTAATGGTTGCGGAGTCTCTTCACTTTTTAGCTCGCTTTCTCATCGAGGTCGAATCATGTTAAAAAACATGGTGGTTTCCAAAGTGTTGTATTAAGGCGGAGAACTTTAAAGTCTAGTGACTGAGATAAACCAAAAATTACACGATTAGAAACAAAAAACCCTCCGCGATACATTTGATAGCAAAAAGACGGGGCGACAGGAAGTTACTCCTGACAAGATGAAGTCGATCTGTCCAAGTTTCACACGCCAAGGGCTGATGATTCCCATATGCTCTTCCGCTCAACACTTTCTCCTCCCCTTTTCTCTCCAAGGACAACGGCCACTGATCTCCATATCATACGCTTCACCTCAGGGGCAGGAGTCTACTTGTTTCCAGTAACTGCTTTTCAGGAGCTACTCTGCAGTGGGTCATACCCCTCCCAGGCCTGTTGGTAAAAGCGTCTTCCGTTAGTTCATCAGGACACTTAGAGGAAGAAGGCGGCGACCATGAGAGCACCAGCGAGGGTGAGAGGTGCCTTGACGTAGCTGCCGCCAGCGGTGGCGACCGTGGAGGGCTTGCCTCCAGTGGTAGCCGGCTGGGTAGGAGGCTGCGCCGGAGTTTGGACAGGAGGCTGCGCGGGCGGCTGAGCAGGGGGTTGAGAAGGAGGCTGCGCCGGGGGTTGAGCGGGCTGCGTAGGAGGCTGCGCGGGAGGTTGCGCAGGAGGCTGAGCAGGAGGTTGAGCGGGAGGTTGAGAAGGAGGCTGCGCAGGGGGTTGAGCAGGAGGTTGAGCAGGAGGTTGCGCGGGAGGCTGAGCGGGAGGCTGCGAGGGAACAGTGGCAGGCTTGTTCGCAGTGACGGTAGAGTTTTGGTAACGGACTCTAGTGACCGTAGGGCAAGGCGTGCTCGAGGCCTGAGGGGTGACGGGAACAGCCTTCTGCGAAGACGCGATGACAACGGGCTTGGAGGCCGAAGACGCAGGCGGCACAGCGCGCTGGGAGGAGACCACGACAACGGGCTTGGAGGAAGAGGGAACGGCCTTCTGCGAAGACAGGACAACGACGACGGCAGAGGTGGTGGCCTTGGCGGTCGTGGTGGTCTTGGGATTCTGGGAAGTCGTCACCTTCTTGGTGGCCGAGGTGCAAGGGGTTGTGGCGTTGTGACGGCGGCTGGAGGTCACCACTGCCTTGGATGAAGTCTTGGACTTGTGGGTGGTCGAGGACTTCTTGGAGCTGGAAGAAGACTTGCAGGGAGTGGTTGTGGGCTTCTTAGAAGTGGAAGACACGCAGGGGGTAGTAGTCTTCTTGGTTGAAGTGGTGCAAGGTATGGGTGAAGGCTTCTTGGAGGTGGTGCAAGGAGTCGTGGTGGACTTCTTGGAGGTAGAGCAGGGAGTGGTCGTCGGCTTCTTGGAAGTAGAGCAAGGCGTGGTCGTTGGCTTCTTAGAGGTCGTGCAAGGGGTGGTGGTAGACTTCTTAGACGTAGAGCAAGGAGTCGTAGTGGGCTTCTTGGGAGTTGAGCACGGGGTAGTCGTGGGCTTCTTAGATGTCGAGCAAGGAGTCGTAGTGGGCTTCTTGGGGGTCGAGCAAGGAGTCGTAGTAGGCTTCTTGGAAGTTGAGCACGGGGTAGGCGTGGGCTTCTTCGACGTGGTGCAAGGCGCCGTCGTAGGCTTCTTGGAAGTAGAGCACGGGGTAGGCTTGTGCTTCCTGGTGGAAGTGGTGCAAGGGGTAGTCGTGGAGGTGGTCGTGCAAGGCTGGGTGACGGTGACGACCTTTGTGCTCCAAGTCCAGGTCGGCCGTCCGGGGCCGGGCACAAAGACCCGGGACACGGTCGTCTCGAAGATGGTCTGCGGGTCCAGGGGCACGGCGGGGAAGTCGGGCTGCGACGGCTGCCAGCCGGCCGAACGGGTTGAGGTGAACATCTGGGACTGGGCCAATCCGGAGAGGACGGCAACGGCGACGGCGGTGACCCTCATGATGTCTGAGAAGGGGGGTAAGGTGGGAAATGAGAGAAAATGGTAAAAACGATTGACTGAGAGACGAAGTGAAAGGTTCCCGCCTTCCCTACACGATGACAGTGAGCGAGTGACTGATGAATCGGATGAGGATGAAAGAGGAGATAGTCTGGAGTCTCCTCCTAGACTCGCTTTACTTATAACCGTTGGCCTGGTGGCCTTTGGCGACCTTGACCCTTGATAGCCCTTCATGTCTGCATGGCTTGTTGGGTATCGATTTCTCATGATGTCGGAAAGAGAGTTTGAACCGGATGGAGCAACAATCAGACACCGGGGCTCAACATGAACTTCGCAGACCTCAGGGTTGTGAAGCCATCGAAGCTTATGCAGAAAGCTTCTCCCACTTGATCCACTTGGGACATGAGCTCCCCTCCGTCCTCAAGATTGACGGTGCCAAATATCGATGGCAACAAGTCAAGGTTTTTTCTTCAAGCCACTGGAACCTCTGCGGAATATCTCATGGCGCCGTTCTGGAGCGGGACAGCCAGACCAGGTTGCTTGCGAATACGGTCTCCCGTGAGATATACGTTGGTTTCGGCGAGGGAGAGCACGGGAGGGCGCAGGTGGTTGAAGTCTTTTCACACGTTGCCGACACTATTGGCGCTCACTGTACGATCTTGATGGGGCCAGCTGCATGTTTGAACCTGTGCTTGAAAATTGATGAAAACGCTTGGGTACATATTGGTGGCGGGACCTCTATCGGACCTCTTCCATCATTTGGTCGCCCGCCATTCGCTTTTCGTGATAATTCTGCAGCGCACCGTATACCTTTGGTCATGATACTCGACACCCACAGCTTGTTGACTCCGATGAGCGGCGTCCGTTGTTGTGACTCGAAAACGGAAGAGTGGTGATTTGTGCACCTTGACGGAGCTCTCGACGCGGTCGAAAAGCCTTGCGCTTGTTGTCTCCAAGCTCCCCTCAGCATCTGCAGTCTGCAATGCTCAGCTCTGTGTGTTCCGTGTCGGACCATGCTCGCTATGTATGCCTTCCGTCGACTCCATTCTTTCCCACTCTCGGAACACGCTTTCCAGAACCTAACGCCATATTGCCACGCATTTTTAGTAATCGGAGTCATTGAACAGACCGAACCGCATCCGGTGGCTCTGCGTACGTTGTCAGCTTTGAACTTTCTATGTCTTCTGTCAATAAAGGGGGAAAACATACAAAAGGCAGCTTGGGTATGACAACTGCTAGCACAGCCAAGAAGTTGATGCTAAAGTAGGCGAGGTCGTAATGCGTGTAATGCGTGCTGAGGAGGAACAGCACGATTGGCACGCTGAGCAAAAACTTCTTGGCGGGTGTGTATTGAGCCCCATCGTCGATTTGTTCCCACATGTTCAGGTTATCAAAAGCACCGCCGTTGAACTCGAATGGCACGCCGCGAACGTAATGAAACATGATGTAGGATCCAAACATGTACGAGATGTTCGTCAGAGTCCAGGATGTCTCCTGTGACACGCCCGGCATGACATCGTAGAATATCTTCAAGCAAAGGATGAGGACGAAATGGATTGTCCAGGCGCCTGTAGACGGTAATTGTCAGTTCCTGTTTTCCTACCTTCCAATGGGACTAGATGGATGGGCTGGCACGCGACCAAAGCAAAGGGAATGGAAAGGGGCCATGGAATAGCTTCCGATCAGGAAGCTTCGCGCGGGGCTCACCTTTGGCATTGACCCAGTTCGCATTGAGGTTGGGCACGACGGCTTGGTCGCTTATCTGCTCGAGTGTCTCTTGGGGTTCGTAATGGACCTGGAGGATACTGCTAGATCTCCTTCTGCGGGCACCGGGTTCCGCCATTGCTCTGTACGATCCGCTGCCACTTCGCGGAGGATTTGTGGCCGCGTCGTACGAGACGGTGCGAGAGAGGAGGATTGGGGAAGACAGTTTGGCGGTGTTGGAGGGGGCGTTGGGGTGCGAGTTGGGTTTTGTGGGTGGAATGGAAGAGGGGAAAGTCTCTGCGGGCTCTCGGGATCGTCGTCGGCGTCCTCGTGATGCTGGGGTTCGGCGGAGTGATGAATTTGTCGTGTGCTGGCGGCCCCCTTGATGATGTCACGGGGAAAGCGAGCAGCAATTGACGTTACGTTGAGTTTGATGTTGATGCAGGTGTTGTATATAGGAGATGCTGGGACTGAATGTGGTTGAAATTTGATGGAAGCGAAAGTAGAGAAAAAGGTGTCGTCGGGACAGTCGAAGAGAAGCGAGAGCGAGATTCTGGCTGCGAATGTTGGGGATGCCGTCGTCGTAATAGTCTACTTGGCAATGGGATGAAGGAGAGGATGGGACATTTTCCCTTAGATATTCATACTAAGGTAGCAGCAGCAGCCAGCAGCGGAACGGGGGCACTCAATTGGGGGGGTGGAGGGAGGAGGACAAAAAAGAATGGGGCTATTGGACAGTCCCCGACAAGGCCACGGCACAGGGCCTCAGGTGCAGGGCAGCTGCGCGTGCAGGCAATGGGAACCAGGCACAGTGAAGACTCCACTCGTCCACTCCTCCCAAGCCAAAGACACGACAGGACAAACCTGAGATTGGGATCCGAGCCGACAGACAGCTGCAGACAGCACCAGTTTCCTTCACCTTCCCAGGTCATGGCAGCCACTGCCAGCCGACACGAGCGTACCGAGAGGAGGACACATTGAAGCGGACGGGCATGGAACCCACCCCACCCGGTCAGGGTCGTTCAGGGGACCACCCCAATTTCAGCGGGTACGGAAGACTTGGAGGGGGAGTTACATACAGTACAAGCACTGGCAGGTCCTGATGGAAGAAAGAGACGGGAACTGACTGGATGGACGGGACGCAAAGGCTCCGGAACCAAAGGAGGACTGGACGGAATTGGACCTGGACCAGGGACACCTGCGTTCACAGGAGAGAAAACAGAGCGGGAAGCAGGGCAGGCATTCCCGCCTCTGGGAGCCGTAGAAGGTATGTGTGGATGGCATGGGAAGCCCACTCTCTCGCTCTCAACTTGCAAAGAGGCTCTTGCACCTTATCGCCTTGGCCCAGGAAGCTTTTCCACCAGGTGCGACATGCCCAGCCGGTACACACACCCGACGAAATGTTGCTCGATTTGACAACCTTCTTCCTCCCCCACCATCGAAGAAGAAAAGAAGGGACTCTGATCGTTGCATACAGATCCTCCCCTAGCTCCCACATACAGCACACGGCATACGGCCTGCGCACAACCCTGCCAAGAGCACGGCTCCACGGCTAGACTAAGCACGAGAAAAGATCGAATACTTACCTACATTCTTCGTACATACAGCGACGCGTCCCGCGGGAAGGGCACTGATGGCCGACGTGAAGCACAGCCAGCCAGACAGACGGTCAGACTCAGACCCAACATGCCACTGTCCCGCCGCACAGATATCCGTACTGTAAGCTCCCCTGCGTTTCCTGGCCCGGCCAATCGTGTTGCAGGATGGATAGCGCAGGACGGAGGCCGGAGCAGCATGCGGCGTAGGTTCACAGGCGCATCTGCTAGCGAATTGGGGGCAGGAAGGGGTTTCCCTGGCCAAGTTCAACCAGGAAGATGCCCCTATTTCCGACATTTAGTGACGGCAAATCGGTGGTCAATGGCCATTGGGGAGGATGAGATACAGCCAGCAATGAGCAGACTGGCCAGATGTGGAAGCACTCTCACACCCATCCGGATACAACCGCTGGATCGACCCTATCACACAGAACCGCCTATATACGCGGCATGAACATGCCATCCAGGACTGAAGAGAGGCTAAGCTTTGTTGAGCCGAAAGGAGCACAGCAACAGCAGAGCAGCACGATGATATACGGCCCATGCGTGCCATCTTCTCTTCGCCTCACATCATGACATGGATCACATCACACCCGGGGTTCCTGGCGTCTGGTCATCGTTTCCAGATTTGCGTACGGAGACGGATGGAGGCGCACAAAGAAGGACGATGGCGGCATAGACCCTCCTCCCCAAGTTGTCGATGCCGTCCTAGACTCCGTATTCTGTACTCCGTACCTGTCTTCCCCAAGACATACGGTGTTGCTCCTTTCTTCCCACCTTTCCGCTCCTCGATTTGACAAAAGTCATCGTTATCTGAGCTAAATCTGTCGCCCTCGGTCTCCACTAAGCGGGCTGTGCGACAACTTATTGCCTGTAGTGGTTCGTTGCGTTGCGTGGGATGGACGGATAGGCAAGAAAAGGAGACGTGGAATTCCTGGACATCCGGGATATCTCACCGAACCACAAAGTGCGTCACTGATGGAATGCCAAAGTTTCCTGTCCACATTAGGCCCGACCCCTGGTCACGTCTGCCGATATCGAGCTGTTGCAACACGCATAGGCGCAGTCATTTAGCCAGCTGATGTTGTAGAAATACGTGAATACTAAACTACAATCGAGCCCTTTACTCATTGCAGCTTCATACTTGCGGGTAAATTCGTGGCGTGTCTTGCGCCCGGACGACGCGAATTTCCAACACGCAATACCGTGGCCACACTTTGGACAGAAAGCAGCAGATTCATGAGACCACGATATGCCCGTTCAAAGATGTCGCATAACACCATACCTTTCCCATGGACCATTCATTGACCCCCTCCAACTCTTGCCCCAGTTTGTGTAACTCGTCCGCCTGCCATTGTCGACGCTTGGTCCAGGTGGCAGGTGTGCAGAAAAGTTCTAGCCTCATTTCCGACCACCAGGATCTCATTTCTACTTTCCTCAGTTCTGCGGGTTGCGGATTGGATGTTTGTAATTAGATGAAAATCGATAGGCCCGAGGTGCCAATTCTAGAAGCATTCACTTTCGCTTCCGAGTTTCTGCTTTGCAAAATGACACCGACCAGTCCGACACCGCCTCAGGTGGGCACCGGCCTGTAATTAGTGAAGGTCCCAGGTTTGACAGGGCAATCAGTCGGCCCCCTGGTTAAGCGAGTAGAAAAGGGACCTGCCTTACCTAATAACTGAGTTGAGAGATACCTACCGATTGGCACTGTGCCGTGGCCCGCACCTCTGAAAAATCGAACAAACCGAGGCGAGGAGTCAAGGTGTCTACGGAAAGACGGGACCCGGCAGCACAGGTGTTGAAGGCCGGCAGGCAGAGGCAGCCACGGCCAGGTGCAAGAGGTCCGGCGCGTCGGTTTGGCGACACAGACGCGGTTATTCTTCGGCCGGCCGTTTTTTTGTGACGTCTGGCCTGCTGTGGGTACCCGACAAACAACCCTGCATACAATTTTTGATCAGAGGAAACGGCGGTCTTTTCCTGTTGATGCCGAACGACGTCGAGCGATACTGACCGTTGAATATTTATTCATTCTCACCCAAGCACTCCGATCGCTTGATTCGAGCAAGCCTACCCGGCGGCATATCCCATCGGATCGGAATTAGGGTTTCTAGGCGCGACCGAGCATTGTCATCCTCAGGCAAATCGCGAATTCTCATGACCTTGGAGTTGTGATTCACATCCTCATTGCCGGACACACGAATGCGAAATATTCCAACCTGGGAAAGATATCAAGTTTTGCCGGAGTATTTCAGCACGGCACCCACTCATTTCAACACCTGAACCCCCTCAAAGTAAGGCATTGGAGAGACGTTGAATTTTGGTACAGCGTCGTATATCTCATAGTACACCGCAGTCACTGAATTTTCACACACCGCCATCAAGCGCTACATAATGGAGACATCAGAGTCAGCACAAGCCGTTCCGGTGCTTAGCACTGGGAACGATGCCCAGCGAGTATCGAAGAAGAGGTCGCTGGAAGACGTTGAGCAGGGAGATGTGATGCCCAACGGATCACCGCAATCTCATCGGGCCTCATCGCATGAGCCCGAGGCCAAGCGAGCGAGAACGGAGCAAATTGGTCAATCAGCCGAGCAGGATGTTTCAATGGACTCGGAAAGCGCCGATGAGGGCGAGCTGGAAGAAGACGGAGAGGTTCTACCTTCCGAACCCGAATCCGAAAACCAGGGGGTCGTCGCCGCAGAGAGTGGAGGAAACGCCGGGTCTCGCACGCGTTCAAAGGCGTCGTCTTCGGGGGGAGAGTCAGATGCAGGCAGCAAACGGACGACCCGTTCAATGTCGGCGGCGGCGAGTGGCCCATCTCAAGTTGGGTGGAATCAAGGCATCACGTCCCAGATCCGGACATCACTTGGAGGGCCCAAGACCAAGGCTGCACCGGTGCCGGCCAAGGTCTCAATTGTTGAGGAGGAAAGCGCACCTGCTGCCGCACCTGCGTCCGATGCTCAAGATGCGCCTGCACCGACCGAGGCTGCTGAGCCAGCCCAACCTGCCCAACCGGCACCAAAGGAGCCTAAAATTTCTCGACAGCAGCGAAGAGCCGAAGCCGCCGCTCTCGAGAAAGAAAAGGCACAAAATGAGAAGAATGCTTTCGTCTATGAGGGTATGACTTTCTTCCAACCCAACAAGAAGACGCTTTTGCAACCAAAGGGAAACAACCTAGGCAGTGGAGTGTGGAGATCCAAGTTTAAGAGCTGGGCCCAGTCATTCATCAGCCGCAATAGCGAGCAGGAGCAGCTGCTCACGCCCGAGATTCTCGTCGCCGCTCTGCAGGACTACATTGCGCATCGGGCGCAGTGGAATAAGAAGAGGCAGTCTCCGGCCGCCACCACCGAGTCACGCAAGCCCGAAACGAGGACTGACATGGCCTCCATCCTGGCGTCGGCCGTGAAGAAGCCTACTCGCCAGCTAGGATCGGAAGAGTCACCCCTGATCATCCACGACGACGAGGACGAGGTCGACGACGACATTCAAGAAGTATCACCCCCTTCCGGTGCCAGACGGGAGTCCAGCGATCGGCATTCGGCTACAACACCATCTCAAAACGACGTGGTGGAAGTGGTGAGCGACGAGGACGAGGAGATGGAGGAAGAGCAAGGTGAACCTGGACCGGCGATCATGACCGAGGAGGAGGACCTAGAGCAGCAGCGAAGATACTTTCCTGGCCTGGCAGACACTGCCCAGATCTGCGTGTACTGCGCAACTCTCGGACACACCTCGATGGCTTGCCCCAACACTCGGTGCAAGTTCTGCGAACATACCGACCACTTTTCGTGGAACTGCCCTACACGCGAGAGGTGCACTAAGTGTCGCCAGCTCGGCCACAGCAAGACCCAGTGCAAGGAGAAGCTCATTCACCTGGACGAGGAGGGTATGGAGTGTGCCCTGTGTGGCTCCCAGGCTCACCAGGAGAACGAGTGCGAGAAAGTCTGGCGGTCATACAAGCCTCCGAGGATGATCAAGAAGGTCAAGCCGTTCCCCGCCTTCTGCGGGTTTTGCGGAAACGAGAGCCACTACTCTTCCGATTGTCATCTGAATCGTGACAGACCGAAAAGCGAAACGTGGACGCTCAAGAACAGACACCTCTACGTCGACAAGAACGCAACCGATGGCCCGATCAGCGACTTCGCTAGTCAGCCCCAGAACCCCAAGTTCGCCCCTCTCTCGATCAAGGGCTCTGCAGCCAAGCGAAACCACATCTTCTACCCCGACAGCGACGGGTCGGAGGAGGGAGAGTTCATCGGTCAGAAGGTGAAGCCGCGTGCTCCACTCGGCAATATCCAGATGTCGACCAACCTCCAGATCAACGCCGGCAACTTTGGACCACCACCGCAGATGCAGTCAAACGGGCGCGGTGGCCAGCAGCGAAATGGGTGGTCAGCGCAGCAGCCTCCCCTCCCTCCAGGTCCTCCACCTCCAGGTCCGCCACCACAGGGCTCGTACTCGCGAATGTCTAGAAGCTACAACAACCAGTCGCGCCAGCCGGCGAGCGGTTTGCCCCCCAAGCCCCCAGCACCGCAGTCGCAGCAACACGGGCGAGCAGGACCGAATCCGCCGAAGAAGCAGAGGACGAGGAACCATTCCGGAAACTCCAATGCGGGAGCCGCGCAGCAGCAGCAGAACGGTGGGGGCTCTGCGGCATCGCGCCGCAGGGGCAAGAACAAACGCGGTGGGAAGCAAGGATGAGCGTTTGGAATGATTGGCTAGCGCGCGACGCCGTTGAGAAAAGGGGCGTACAGTACGTTGGATGGGATGGATGGGTGTGTCGCGCGACCGCGGGCGAAGAAAAGTGGTGGTGGTGCGAAGTCACGGGAAGAGGCGAGGAACATCATGTACGACAAAAGTGTACGAGTTGCGACAAGAAACCTCGAAGCGAAATCGAAGGGGAGGGGACTCAGACAGCAGCGTGACGATGCGCGACCAAATGCGCGACGACAGCCTTGCCTTTATGGTTGGGTGAACGACTATGGACGAAACTGCGCGGCGAGGGCGGAAGGGGGTGGTGGTTAGCTTTACATTTTGCAAGCGGGAAGATGGGGTTTGCGTCGGGCCAATCGTTGCGCATGCGCAAGTTGACGTGGACTGACTTCCTGCACACAACGGTATTTCCCATCTCGGAAGTGGATCAGGGTCATTAGGTTGACTAGAAGCCGGGTGCGGGAGGCAGTAGATGGTATGGAGAGGACTCGGGATCAGTAGTTTTCTTAATACCCCCACGGCTATCTGTTCGCACAGAACAAATCGGCGGGCTGGAATTACTACTATCTTGCGTTTTATGGATGATTTTACTTTGACCTTGTGTGCTTGATTCTGGATTTCAAAGTTTTTCTCTTTCGCTTAGAGGACATGATGGGACTAACAAGGAATATCTCGAGATTGACTCATTGCGAAATGCCACGACATTGGGAAATAATCCCTGGCTGGCACTTTCGTGGCTGGGGGAGGAAGATTGAATCATTGACGGTGAAGAAGAGGCCGTGTCGTCTGGGAGATGCCAAATATGCTCTTTACCGCAAGTTGTCTTGACATGGGATGGATATAGTCAAGGGTTGGGAGAAAGCGAAAAGGTAGTTTCCGCGCGGCTTGGGGTGTGTATAAGAAGAAATAGGAAAAAAAAGAGGATATCGTGGGCTTCTTGTTCACCGGGGGGCGTGTCAATTTTGTTCGTTTGATATATGTCGGTAAATTTAGTAGTAGAACACGGACGGCGCTTAGACTTGGTGTGTTAGTCACAATGTCGACCACGTCGTGGGCATTGCCTTGATTTTTGCACCCTTGGGAAACGCTTGGGCTTCAATATAAAAAATTGGTCGTGGACTTTTTGTGTGGACGGACGAGGGTTTTTGACGATTTGTCGGTGTGTGAGTGTGCGTGTGGTGTGTAAGTGCGTCGTTGCGAACTTGCGGTGCGGTCAGTGTCTGGGGGCTGGGTTCAAGTTGTGGATATGATTTTTTTCTTCTTCCTTTTGTTCGAATGTTTGGTTCATGATGCATGGGTATTTTTTGATGCAGTGGTTTGGTGGATTTTCATAGTGGATATAAGACTAGGAGTTGGGAAACCCGGGATGTTGGGTAGGGGTTATTGTTCTTGGGAGGAAAACGTGGTTTGTGGGTTTTCGATGACCATGGCCTTGTCATTTGGGTATTTGGGCTCTCGAGTCTTGGGTCTTGGGTCTAAGGACTTGGACATGTGAGACCGGGGTGTGTTGACGATGGACACCGTGGACCACAGGCCCTCATGGGTTTTGGGAAGAGAAGAGTTCTGTCGCAGAGTTGTGGGATATGTGTTTGGTTCACCGGCGACGATGGACTCGTTTTGCGATGCCCCGGGACGGCGGGAATGACCAGGGGATGTGCACGACGTGGCTCCAAGGGTCTCTGCTGTCCCTGTCTCTCTTTTACCGCTGGCTTGGCTGTACCCCTGGTCTGATGATGTATGTAGTACGGATAGACATGGGGAGTTTTGAAAGTTCTTGAGTTGAGAGAAAGAAAGCTTGTGGTTTGTCGGCCGGCATGGCATACGGGAAAGGTACTGGGTGTGCGGTTCAATGGTAATGGAGCCGGTAGCGAAGGGAGGGTGTGGTTTTTTTGATAATGGGGACGATGCAGTCGTGATGTGGACACCAGGTGACGATCAACCAGGGTTGATTTTTTTGGTCTCATGGGTTGTGGTTGTCGGTGTAAGTACGGACGTAGTACTGGGGGTTGCCCTTAGTTGTGGGTGATGAGTGATGGCAGTCTCCAAGGGTTGTCTGTGACTGTGACGGACGGTGTGATGCAAAGTGCTGCGATGCATGGGAGTTGCAAAGGGGAAAGAACAAACGATGCGTTGAGAAGACTCGAAGCTTTTTAGGGCGGGTTGTTTTGCTGTGCTGTGCTGTGTTGTCCGTTTTGGGGGGAGTATGTTGACTAAAGTACTGAGTTAGGTTGGTGTACGGAGTATGCATACATGTAGACTTTGACTTAGACTTGAAGTCGACAAGAGAGATCATGGGACGGATTGTATGCAGGTCAGTGACATTTTGGGGCGGGAGTCTGAGAGATGCAGGAAGGGGACCCGGACCCTTGCGCTGTTGCTCAGACCAGACCGTTGACGCGGGCTTGGGATGATGAGGGAGCTGGTTCCGAAGAGACTCTACGTAATTAGTAAGGTACCCCGAGTTCTCGATTTCTGAGAGTTGAGTTGTGGTCTGCAGTCTGTGGTCTGAATCTTCGTTGTGGGTGGTGGTAGTGGTGGTGGTGTTTCGACCTGTAATTATGTCAGCCCCATTTTGTTCTATGGTAAAGAGGTCGATTTGGGGGCGTGGTTGTGTGCTTCAATCTGGAGGCAGCCGAGCCATTCAAGAGTGCCTTGCCGGCCTGTGGATGAGTTGCTGTGGAGTCGTTGGATGCTGCATGCCATGAGGAGGCCGGCCGGGTGGCCGGGCTACGTCAACCTCCAACCTGGAATTGGAGTTTCGTGGGAAGCATTTGGGACAAGGAAAGGATGGGATGCGCCGGTTGATGTCCGAACCCGCAAATGCGCAAACAAATTGTGGGGGTTTCGCATGGGTCGCCGAGTGGACAGACGAACCTTTTGGACGACGTCTCTCACCGCGTGGGATTCGTTCGGTTCTTTCAGTTATTCCTAGGAATAAAGACTAATGTGATTGGTCAGACGTCGAGCTGGCGACGGTTTCCCGTCTGATCCGCGGTTGATTCGCGGACGAGAGCATTTGCGCGACGGACCTCACTGGTCAATGGGCGAACGTATGCAGAATGCAAGATAGTGGATCGTTCAGAGAGAGAAGAGTCATAACTCTCATCCATCGGCCGTGGCATGCATGGGGGTGTGGTCGAGAGTAGGAGCGGACGAAGACGCTAGGTACTGTATCCGCAGACGTAGCGCAGTAGCAGAAGTGGACTATGCGCGGCAAGTCAACACCCTTGAACCTGCCTTGCCTATGCCTTTGCCTTTGCCTTTGCCTTTGCCTTTGCCTTTGCCTTTGCCTTTGCCTATGCTTCTGGCTTCTCTTGCAGTCTTGCTGACCTGGAACTTTGCCGTTTTTGCATCCATGTCCGGAAAACCGTACATTTGCCAAGGGGAGACTTACATGGGATAGACGAGGGGTTTCTGGCCACAGCCCTAGCCTCGCACGTCGTCGCCCTGTGTTTCGCGAAAATGGAGGTATGGCTGGCACGGCTGGCTGTTGGATGGAGGTGTGGCGTGGTGTAAGGTAGGTTGTCTCTAATAGGCGAAGGTGGTGGCAGCATATGGTTGACGGTTTCGAACAAGACTCAGGCCATTATGCTACAATGCTGATCAGATCAGCAGAGATCAAGTCCCCCATTTCTCATGGGCGAAAGCGAGAGCGGGAAGGCTTCAACACCAAACGTCAAGGTCGAGACCGTGGACGAACCACGGCAAGAGGGGATCTTCGTTCCTTTCGAAGTTGACGCATATTCCATGCTAGCGGGCTCCCTCCTCAGACTACCACGCTACCAGGCTAGGATAGATATATCGCCACGCGGAGGGGAAGCCGAAAACGTTGAGTAAGAGGGCACGAAGGAAACGCCGGACTCTCGAACACATCCTCCACCATGCCCATGATCGTCAAAAGATCCACCTGGCAGACAAGACACTGGGAAGCGAATCCACGGAACCGAAGGGCAGGTGGGCAGGTCGTTCAGTCAGTCGAAGTGGAAACATCAGACGGGCGGGGGGATCTGCCTCTGTCAAATGCCACAGACACCAGGCAGTGTAAAGGTAAGATAGTGTGTGGTCAGCGCTTAGACTTACAACACCCAGCACGAAACGACTGGTCGTCGACGATAGACGCGCTCCCGTAGCTCCCGTCCACCTCCCCAGGCACAGACGCGTACCTTTCGCGTCTCTGGCAAATCACGGCGAGGCTTGTCGTCGGCTGCATGACCAGCCTCCCGGGTTTGCGGCCAATGGGGTGTCATGTTGACGGACGTTTGACGTGCCGGTGGAGTTTTCGACCTTGAAGAGTGGAGACGTGGCCCGTGAGATCCAGATAGACTTAGAGTTTTTGGCGTGGGATAGAGTTCTTATCGATAGCGCTTCTCCCACAACAATGGAACCTATACTCCGTCCCTTTTTGGCTTTTGCGAAGAAACGAAAGAAAAGACCACCCATGACATGCAAGCTCCTGCTGCTGCGCTCGGGGCTGGCTCGGACGATGGGGCCGGCGACTGGGAACCGGGAATGAGAAAGTCCAACTCATGGGTACGATAGAAACACCGGGCAGGACAGGCCCAGAAGGCCACACAGATCAAAAAAAGACCACGAAGAGAACCAGCAGGTATCCTGCCATGGCCTGCAATGGCCCGCACCAGATAGACACAAGGCAGTCTCATCCTCGGGACGCTCTCAACCACTGGCATGACTTGAAACAAAGTCCTTGGCGGCCGGGGGATACCCTCAGAACTCAGGAGAGAGAGGGAGAGAGGGCTTCTTCTCTTGCTTGCGTTTCTGCATTTCTCTGCAGAGCTAATGCAACTCTCCTTCACCTCATGGCCTCTTTGGACTCTGGTTCTTACTAGAGGTACCAAGTCCAGATGGCATATTCGTCTCGTCTCCATCTTTCATCCTGCTACCTTACTTGTAGACTAACGTGGTCGTCCCGCGCGAAGAGTGACAAACGCACAACCAATCACACGCCCGCAACACGTCGCCAACTCGCCATTTCTGGACACTCTTCCTACAAAACCTTGAACCGCATCGGGTGGTGTCTGGTGTGTGGGTGGTGGTGTGTGGCACGAGCTTTACACGCCTAGCACACACGTCCCCCGAATCCACAACCACAACCAGCATCCACGTCCACACCTCTCGAATTCCCCATCTTTACCATTAGTAGGGACGTGTCTCCCATCCCGCGCGCCCGGGGTCCATGTCTCTCTCTTTTTGGTAAGCCCACAACGTCTCCATACTGCGTACACAACAACCGCGTGGAACCTCCATGGGAACTGGTAAAAAAAGAGAGGCTACACTAGTCTTGCATATGCAGGTCTCGACAGAGGTGACTCACCCGCCAGTCGTTCCCACCGAGGAGCTACGGGACGATGCGGCCAAGGGGGCGTCTTTGAGCGAGGGGAGGCTGGCTCCGCCGGTTTACATTCAACCTTTTTTTCGCATGTGTAGGTGTAGGTGTAGGTGTAGCTCTATGGAGCATCCGTACATTTCAAACCTTGCTAGATGGGATATCCAGCAAAAAAGACTGAAAATTGTGTGTGTGGTGTTCTCGCAAATCAGTCCCCCCCATGTAAGTGAGAAGAGGGAGAGAGTATATTTGCCTCACCCTCCCACCACCCAGATTCCGTTTGGCCTGATTTTCGAGACCTGCTTTTCCTCTATCTTTCATTGTTTCCAATCTTGATATCCCGTCTTATTTGTTTCAAAAGACGACAGCTCATACATATAACCTTGGCTTATATACCGAGGCATTCATCCTAAACTGGTATTACTGTGAGAAAAGAGGTTGTGAATAACCTCATTCGCCCATTTGAAGAAAGGGAATCTGTTTCAGAAAGAGAAAAGAGAAGAAAGAAAGGAAGACCGAATCCTGATATACTCCCCAATCGTCCATCCTCACCTTACCTGATATCCGCCATACAAAAACTTTCGGTGTTGAACCAAGGTCAGACACGGCATCTGCTTTGGTATATCCCACAACCAACATCTCAACCTACCAACACCATCCAC